TTAACCAGGATAATTTTTAACAAATCCTTATGTTGGTGTGGCACAATATAGCAACTGAAGCAACTGTGGCAGGATATATCGCAACAGATGAAATGCACAATCTGAAGAATCTTTTCTCTTTTTTTAATTTAATTTCATTTATAAGTAAAAAGAAGTTAACCCAGAAATATTCTTGGCCTATAGAGCGCTAGAAACCATTCACATGCTGTTAAACCACAAAATATTGTTATGCTTCAGTAGCAATAACTACAAAGGAAAGACTATGCCACACTAAAAGATGTTGCAGTAATGCTAAACATTATTATGAGTTTCCAGAAAAACATAAGCAGCAAACATTAAAAAACAGATTGTCCTTTTGTGCATACAATATCTAGCCTTATATAGATAAGATTCAACAAAGATCTTGTGTCACAACAACCCCATGCAACCTTCCAGGCAGAGTGGCTGGAAAGCTGCTGAGTGGAAAAGCACCTGGGGATGCTGGTTGACAGCAGCGAGTCCAGGTGGCCAAGAAGGTCAGTGGCATCCTGGCCTGTATTAACAATAGTGTGGCCAGCAGGGCCACAGCAGTGATTGCCCCCCTGTTCTTGGCACTGGTGAGGCTGCACCTGGAATCCTGTGTCCAGTTCTGAGCCCCTCGCTCCACGAAAGACATGGAGGTGCTGGAGCATGTCCAGAGAAGGGCAACACAGCCGGGGAAGGATGTGGAGTACAAGTCTGATGGGGAGTAGCTGAGGGAGCTGGGAGTGTTTAGTCTGGAGAAAAGGAGGCTCAGGGGGGACGTTCTCACTCTCTACAATCACTTCAAAGGAGGCTATAACTAGGTGGGGGTTGGCCTCTTCTTCCAAGTAACAAGCAATAGGAGAGGAAATGACCTTATGTTGCATCAGGAGTGGTTAAGACTGGGTATTAGGCAAAATGTCTTCATGGAAAGGGTTGTCAAGCACTGGAACAGGCTGCACAGGGAAGTGTTGGTTACGGTGCTAAGGGACTTGTCAGTGCTAGGTTAGAAGCTGGACCCAATGAACTTTAAGGTTCTTTTCCAACCTCAGTGATTCTGTGATTATATTTTGTCATCCTTAGAGATTGACACAGAACCACTAACTTGTAATTCTCACAAAAACCAGCCTAATGGCACTTTTATCTCCTTTCTGCATTCTCCCGGAGCAGTACCCTTAATTTTCAGGTTTCCTCTTACAGGATTCTTACAATCTCCACTTTTAGACTAGGTTCCAGCCTACAGTATGACATGTCAGTTGGTTTACCTGGCAAATCCTACTAAATCCAAACTCTTTCTCTTCTTCCTGTCAGTGATTTCATAGGCTGCTTAAGAAAAGAGTAGTTTTCAGTTTAAACCAGAAACAAAATATTTAGAAACACTATTCTTCCTCTATGTTTGTACTATGTCAGGATTTATCAACTCCTGCCAGTAAATTAGTTAGGCCCTTTCAGAATCCTCAGGCACATTTTATGCCCATCTAATTTTCACAAGCAGAAATCCCTCTTGCAAAGGTTCTTTTTAAAATGTCATTCTTCTCTTATTGCTTATGTCTTAAGGATTTTTTTGCATAGATTTAATTGTCTCTCAGTGACTTCTGCACTGTTGTTGATGGATGGCTTATATGGAGCTATTCCTTTTCCTTTCTATAAGGAAATTAAGTTGGTATGTTCATAAAAATTCAAACTGACACAGAGAATGCAATCAATAAATTATCATAGAGTTGCTATGAGTCTATCACATAAATATCACTATATCTATGTGGTTTCTATGTTAAAGAAATTAGTGTTTCTTATGAGAGTAACACTGAGCTTACTGCAACAAAATGTTCAATCATATCTGTCATCTGAGATTGCAAAATAAGGTGTGAATATGCCCTGTAAATATAAACTGCATTTAAAGTTAAATACACAAATGCATTTAGTTTTTACCTGCCATTATGTCTCATACTACAAAACCAACAAACATCTTGAAGAATTAAAGTGACAAATACCTAGGAAGAATAATCAGTAGGTATATAATCGTTTATCACTTAGATTACATCTACATTATGCTACTCTTTTAACGCCACCCACCACTTTCATTCTGCTCTAAAAATATGCCACATTAAATTGTGTATTATTGCTTTAGTATTAGAAACGTACCAAAATGTCACCACCCTAAGTATAGAATCCAGTATTTTGACTTGCTAAATTTCATCCTATTAATCATTGCCCAATGCTCCAATCTGTCTAGATCCATCTGCAAGGCATCTTCCTAACAGGCACCACCGCCTCCCTAAGATCTTGCTTTACGGCGAACTTGCCACCGGTTGCCACAAGAGAGGAGCCCCGAAGAGAAGATACAAGGACTCCCTGAAACAACATCTCAGCCTTGGCCATATTGATCAACATAACTGCTCTACTCTGGCCTCCAATCAGGAGGTCTGGAGACACACCATCTATAACACTGCTGCTTCCTTTGAGAACGCACGCGGGATCACTCTCGAGGAGAAAAGACAACGCAGAAAGAATCGTGTCTTGCAGAATATTCCACCTGAGGAGTCCTTCTGCTGTGCCTTTTGCAATCGGATGTGTCTGTCTCGTATTGGCCTTTTTAGCCACCAGCGCACTTGTAACAAATGTGGGTAGAGCCCTTCCCAAATCTTCGTTCGCGAAGCCCAGTCATGAATGAATGATATTTTAATCTATAAACTGTTTTGAAAATAATCTGGGTTTGTTTCTGTTTTGGGGTTTTTTTGCGGGCTTTTGTAAGGCATGTGTAAAGAATGTTCTTTAAAGTCACAAATAAAAGTTTTGAGTCTCATAAGGCAAGGTCTAGTCAAGAGATGATGTGGATGAGCTAAAGCAAATAGGAAAGGTCATCAGTTTGATATCGGATTTTTCTAATATAGTGAATGAGATATTTGAATGTACATCAGAGAGTTAGAAGCACAATTCTGACTAGTGGCAGTGGAATTGTCCTTCTAAAAAGCTTTGAAATGTAGGTAGGTAACTTAAAAATTATTTTTCTGTACTTTTTAAGTTGCCCCCCTCCCAGTTCTATTTGTACATGACAGATGGAAGTTAAACTTCTAAATAACTGATTACCACTGAGAGGATGAGACACAAAGGAAATTAAAATACATGCACAGGAAATGTGGATGAAAAGTGCACTTCAGTTGCAGTAGATGAACAAATGGAAATTTGCTAGGAGTTACATTAAAACTATTTCTAGTACACAATACTTTAAATCATCCTAAAGTTACGTATTTAAAATAAATCATCCCAAATTTCACTATTTAAAAAAATTCTCAAACCTATTTCAATTAGAAGAGATTATATTTGAAACACTAATTCTGTTACAGTAAGTAAATAATAAAGAAAAGTGTCATGAAGTATTACAGAGTGTAATGAAGAAAATTTTTTCAGGGCTCTGAGTCCAACAACAGGTCCCACAACTTTCTCCACTCTTCCCTAGGTGCCTGGCTGCCTGTCCTCCAGGCCACCTCTGACATGGTGCAGCCATAACTGGGGCTCAAGGCTGCTACAGGGCTGTGAGATGTTGTTTTGGGAACCGATGGCCTCAACTCAGGAGTAGAATTTTGGCTTTGGGTGAAGAATCTTTTTCTCATATCCAACCTAAACCTGCCTTGACACAACTTCAGACCATTCCGTCAGGTTCTGTTACTTGTCAGAGAAGAGATCAGTATTCCTGGGATACTCCTGAAATGGCACACAGCCATGAAAGACGTGTAAATCAAAAATAAAGATATTTTAGTAATCTTTTAGAAAGGTTACGAGGGAAAATTGTCTGTTATTTGCCAGACTGAGTAAGCAAGTTTTATCAGAAGTCCCTTTGTCACTTGCTCTACATGACCTTGCCTTGGTAGGGTGGTTGGACTAGATCATCTCCAGACGTCCCTTCCAACCAATTCTGTAATCCTGTGACTTTCTTGAAACTCTGCATATAATTTTATTTTAGTCTCTCATTTAAAAAAGGTATTTTTCATATTTCATAACTTGAAACAGCATTTCTGCTGACATGAAATCCATCTGCCTCAGCATTGTATGTAGGAAAGAAATAAAATAGATTATTCCTTAGACCTGATTAAAAATGATTAAAAATGCCGCTCACTTGGCTAATTTCAGTAAACATACTAAGTAAAACAAAGTCGAAGCCTGAAATTCAGTGTACAGAAGTAGACTAGCAGTTCCCGACAATGCTCCGTGCAATTTCAGAACAATAAGTACAAAGTGAATAGTACCATCCAGGTAGAAAAACTCACTAAATCTAAAAACTCGAAATTATTCCTATAAAAAGCTGAAGTAGTTGTGATTCCTAAAAGCATTTTGTTGTTGAATAAGACAGACTGAAGGCCACAAGAATGTAAAGAGAAATGTCATCAGGTCGAGGTCGTTTGCAAAATAACCTGAAAATCATTTGAAGCCCTTTTACAAAAGCATAGTTAGTCATTCAGGAAGGAAAAAATAATGTTCAGCCTTTTCAATATCTAGTAATAACAGTGTTTTAAGAGGAAGGAGAGGGAAAAGAAAGGAAGAGGAGAAAAAACTCAAACCACCTTGCCTACCGATTTCTTAAATTATGTTGAAGTACATGTTCTTTACCCCGGGTGCTATTTCCAGCTCCAGCTTCCTTCAGATCGATGGGCGGCTACTGGAGGGACGCGGGGCCCTGCAAAAGACACCGGGAGTGGTGCCGGACGTGACACCGGGATACCCTGGGCTCCCCCCTCCACTCCCGGCCGGAGCCGGTGCCCGCCCTGTCCCTGCCCTGTCCCGGTCGCCTTCCCGCCTCGCTCGCCGCCCTCCGCGTTACCGCAGCGACGGCAGCGGGGAGCGGCGGGACGGGCGGCAGCTGCGGCGGGACGGGACGGGACGGGACGGGACTGGGCAGGTCGGGGCGGGTGTCCGGGCTGCGGGGCTCGTACCGAGGCCATAGAGACAGCGGGTGCGGAAGGAGCGGAGGGGGAGCGCGGCAGGTAACGGGAGGGGAGGGGGAGGGCGCGGGGGATGCCGTCGGTGTCCCGGTCTCCTCCGGTGTCCGAGGACCCGGCGGGTGCTGTCGGTGCCCCGGTCTCCTCAGGTGCCCGGCACAGCCATGACTGCTCCTGTGCCTGTGTCACCTCAGGTGTCGGTCTCCTATGGTGTCACGGGTGCTGATTCTTTGGCAGTGTCCCCTCAGGTGCTGGTCCTTGTGGAGCCGGTGCTCCTGTGCCTGTGTCACCTCAGGTGCCTGGTCCTTGTGGAGCCAAGGCTGCAGTGCCCTGTGACAGTGTTCACACCCATGCTCTTGAGAGCCCCCACTGCTCGCTCCCACCAGGAATTAGCGATGTTTCATGCTACCCCATCACCTATAGTGTGGCTGGTTCCTGTTTTTGGATGCAGGCAGGCTTGCCCTCACATCCTCATGTCCTGCTGGACCCACAGAACTGGACTGGTCCCAGTAACAGCCTTGTTCTGATCTGTCTACGGAGATACTTGACGACTATTTGTTTCAGACCTCATCTGCCAAGCAAGGGAGTGAATAATCAGTAGGAGTCCAAAACTGTGTTTGAGAGCAATTATATCCTGGATGTAGGTTAATTTTGGTGCTCAAAGGAATGGAAATGTTTGATGCATGCAGCCATGGATCTATGGCAAATTTAGGTTTATGTGTTTCAGAGTGTCCCTCATGGAAATCCAGGGCTACACTCAGGCTAGCACCACCTCTAGTATGTCAGTTGCGAGAGCTGCTGTCACAGTGCTGAGCTTATTCCAGAAGTAACTATAGTTGCATTCCCCTGTCCTTGTTGTTTCCAATGGGAAAACTACAGAGATTTAAAGGAAAGCGTAGTACTATCCAGTATGCACTACTTGGCTGTGTAAATGTATGCATTTAAGAATCCGAATTACTTGATTTTTGGTGTTTTAACAGGTTAAAACGACAATCAGTATTATGGAGGAGGCCTTAGAATTGTTCCAGGAACAAGCTGTCATTAAGTAAGTAATGACTTAGTGTCTTGGGACTTGAGAATATGATGGAATTGAATTATGCAGGTTTATTAAAAATGCGAAACAAAATATTAATGATTTTAGAAGCAAAATTGATGCTCAATTTCTTTTTATTTCCATGCACACTGGAGAGGTTACTGATAATTAAGACAATGTATCTTACTACTTTAGCTAATACTCTACTCACTGTTTCTGTTAGTTACTTAAATTTTTTAAATATCCATGCCTGAACAAAACGGAGGGAAATGAAAGCTATGTAGGGTTTTATTAAGATGTTAAGAAATGTTATTTCAAACTGTTTTAAATAACAGTTGAAGTTGCTATGCTAAAGCAGTATTAACTTACATGTCACAGCTCTTAAAACATTAAAAATCTTAAAACCAAGACTATTCATTGCTAAAGCCCTAGTCTTACTTTCCACAGATAATAACCACAATTGTTCTCCCCCAGTATGAAGTGCACTTTCCGTCACAATACATCTATTTTTTTTTTACATAATCCAAGATTAGTTCTTTTAATGTTAGTCTAAAAAATACGTTAGTACAGCATAAAGTCTTCCTGAAGAAGTGAAAACACGAGTCAGATTGAATATAGGACCTCATCCCATCCAGCCTCTTCAAGGAAAACAGAAATATAGGAAGTATTTCCTCATATAATAAGTTAAACAGAATATTTATCTATCATAATTTGAAAATAAACTTGTTCCCTATTTTTCAAATTAACCAGTTTATTCTGTCATTAGTACCAAGAAACAGTCCAAGGTAATACAATATATATTAAGTGTAAAAGTATTTCTTAAAATAATAGAAACAGGCATAATCTCTCACACCATATTCTTGCCCAAGAAAGATTTCAATAGGATTTGAAAGTGGTCTTGTTGTACTAAAGAATAGTGGATGCACTTTTCATGATGGATAAAAATTGCTGTAGTAAAATACTATATTCTGAGCAACGTGGCCCTTTTCTTTTGCTTTGAGTGTGGGGTTTTTTTTTTTGTTAGTCATATGATTGGTAAATGTAGTCACATAAAAACTTGAATTAAAAAAAACAAGAGATTGATATTCTTTGGATACTGTTTTACAAATCAGAAACCTATTTCAAGAGGTCAGATTCTACCTTGCCTGTGTTTTAATCAACATATATGAAATTTTAGGCTATTGCAGATGACTCTAGAGTGATTTGTCCCATCATAAACCAGAATTCTTGGTAGTTATTTATTTCCATTAACTATACAAAGAATCTGGAAGAGTAGTTTAGGCTACACATTCAGTGAAAGGAGACATTCATTTCAGTCTATGCTGACAGTATTCCAGAGATAATGCAGAAGCTTTAAAATTTGGGAAGATGACTGAGTAACGGTGGTGGAAATCATGACAATTATATTGCATCTGCAAAGACTCATAAATAACAAATAATCCATCCACAGATCTGTATGATGCTGTACAGTTGAAAATTGTTAAATAAATTAGTTGTAGTTCTTATAATAGAACTTTGGGATAGAAGATTCTAATGGACTATTTACAACTGATTCACATATTTCTTATTTTTAAAGCAAGTTTTGCGATAATAAAATGAATTAATATTGGTTCAAGAATCTGAGTTAAATACCAAAAACTAATGAATGTTCTGTGTAAGATGGAAATATTTGTTAACTACATAGGTTTTGCTTGTGTTTGGATAAATATGGCCATACTTATTTTCCCATTTATGAGCAAACCTGAGTAATAAGGAAAGAAGGTATGAAGTACACACAGACAGTCAAGACATTTCTTAAAATGGCAGTTTCTAAATTACAGTTTTATTCTAAAGTGTATGGACAATAATATTCTTTCTGTGTCTACTAGGAAACAGTGAGAAAAATACAGACCTCTGCAGAATTCCAAAAGACAAATAAATAGGGTTAGAAAAGTTTAATAAGTGCAAAAATCATTTGTGATAAAGGCCTGGAGTGAGTAAAACTTTTAATCTGGATTTTGGTTTGCCTAAAGTTGGAAACATTTAGTTTTACATGAAGATAAATAGATACTAATGACAGCAGAATATGAATCATGTCTATTTTCAGCTATATGGAAACAGAATAAAAGAAGATTAAGAGCTTGCCTACATCACTTTAAAATGAGCTACCTTTAAGTGGTTTGAACTGTTTCAAAGCAAATGAACTCCCCCAAAAAAGCTGCCTTTTGCTTAAGTACAAGTCATTACTTCCTGTATGATGAATCCCATTTGGTGTATGCATTCTACAAAGTGGGAATGCTGTATCCATATAGCTAAAAAAACCCATGCATACTTCTTTGCTTTATAAGCAAATTCATTGTCTGTGTGGTTTTTTACCTGATGGGATATTAAACAAAAGAAACCACTGCATTCCACACCAGTGATAAAATAAATTCTCATGATTTTGATACCACATGATTGGCCATATTATGAAGGGGTTAGTTAGCATTCTTTCCAAAACACTTAGTGGACTAAAATAATAGTTACAGTAGCAAGTAGTACCTCTATGCTAGTAGGTGGGGATAACTGCAATACCAGTGACATGGTACAGAGTAGTTTTGATAGTGGAACAGAAGCAGTAATCTGTAGCTTCTTCACGTACAGCTGTCCTTTTGCAGCTGCAAGTGTACTTAGAGGATCCATGTAAGAAATTAGAGACAGTGAAGATAGACAGAGAAGCTGTTTCAGAAGGAATTTTTCTTTCAACATCTCTTTTATATATTGGTGGGTCTAGGTTCAAGAAGCATGCAAGCACCGTTGAGAGAAAATTTTCTAGCAAGGGCTGCAGAATTTACCTTTTGTGGGATGATCTGAAAGAGAGAAGTGAAGTTTAAAAGGGAAAGGTGCCAGTCAGGATCTGAAAGGGTAATCTGGCGATCTAGGCTAGAAGTTGCCTTTGCACTTGCATAATAATATTTAGATGATCCATGTGATGCACAGTAAAGAAAGTACCTGTTTCCGAAGGCTGAAATAAGATGTCTGAGTCATTGCTGGTGGTTCACCGAGGTGTTGCCACATGACATTACATGAGTCTGGAAGGGCACAGGTCCTTACAGCAGTATCAAAGAAGAGGTAATCCTGATGCAGTATGGCTTTGTTTTCTGTTTTCAAAAGCCTGTTTTATATTCCACCCAGAGGGGATCAAAGTTTACTGCATCATTAATGCTACTTTTGAGATGAGTTTGAGGCACGAGGAAGGGGGGTAGTTTTATTTTGAAACATGAACATCACAGTGTACTACTTGCTTGCGCTTCGTTTATTATCATCCTATGTTTCATACTGAATTTCGAAATGGCATTATGGCATTGCTAACAGTTTTAACATTTAACATTAATGCCTTTTGGCATTAAGATTTACATCTCTATTTAAAAAGCCTTTCCAAGCTTAACATTGATGATATTATAGTTTCAAGGATTTGTTGATGTAAAAGAAGTTTTAGAGAATTTGACTTTAAAAAAATCACATAGAGTTTTAATTATGACATTACAAATCTAAAAAATTTGCTCCAATTTCCTGTAATAATTATCAAAACAAGGGATGTGCACAATTTAAGCACCAAATAACAGATCTTTGATAAACACATATCCATACTAAGTAGTTGTTTTTCCAGTTTAGTGCAGTCAAAAGTTGAGCATTTGACTCTAGACCTATATTTGAAGGCATCATTTACCTTTCCCATTTCTTTCTGATGTTGAAAAGTGGTTAATTCCATCAGAATTAAAATAAAGTTTTAGCAATGTAAAGAAAAAATTGTTTTCTCTCTTGAAAAAAATAAATCTCTTCTTTTTATGTTTTTAGACCTTCTCCATGTGAAGCTGAACTTCAGGAATTAGTGCATCAAATTGACATCATGGTAAACAGAAAGCAACTGGAATGGGAAAGAAAGATGAGAGCTTTAGAAGCGAAGATGGATATCCAGGATCAAGAATTAGCAAGTGCCCAAAGCAAACTGGATCAAAAAGGTCAAGAGGTATTTAAGAATATCACATTCTATAAAGGAAGTATTTATTCTGGTACTTACTTATTAGTATGCTTTAAATGCTCTATAAGGAGACCGGTTTGTTCTATTATGTAAAAATGCCAAACACCCATTAAAGGTCACTAATTATCCTTAGTGTTTTGTTTTAAACTGTGTTTCTGTTCTGAAAAGTGATTGTAAAAATGTCATTGAAAATCTCGTATTTCTTCTGTTTCCCTAAAGTCTAAATCAAATATCCTCAGTTTAACTGTAAAAAAGATAATTTTATGGGTTTTTTCTAAATGCCAACACTTCTCATATCATCAGAAATTTTAAATGGAAGTGTACAATTCAAAAAGGTTCACAAAATTATGTCTCTGTAGCTCCTGTTTGTATCTGATTTTCGTCATTTTACGTTATACTGTTTGTGTATGATAATTTTATTCATCGTGAAGATTTGAATTGTATTACTACTTCGACTTTCTTACAAAACTGAAAGCCCCAGTGTGCCTGGTGTTGTCTGTACTTCACAGTCTTGTCTGCTGAGTTTTCATTCAGAAGCATCAAGAAATCCTTGCATAGTATTCAGTTCTAGTTCAAGACAGCTCAATTTAGGTGTCTACACAAGGGCATTGCTGTGTGAGCTAGGTGTCTAAACTGCCAATGGCAGTTCTGAAAATGGAGAACCTCTCCCTAATGAGCAATTAGGAACTTGCCCTTAGTCATCTCGGTCAGAGGAGCCAAAAGAATAATTCAGGTAGCCAATCCTCAAAGCCTCAATTTATTTGCCTGTACAGAGATGTTATCTGAAATACTTTAGCATATTCTACCTAGCTTCCAGCTGTCCTTCCAGAAAAGCATAAGTGTCATGTATGCACTTGGTCATATTTCTCAGATCTCTGTGAAACTCAGTAATAATTCAAGTTTTCTCAAATGGCACTGTGCTTAGGGAGCTGAAATGAGTCTACAGGGTCTTCCAATAATTTGTACATAAGTAGTGGACAGTCTTTCATATGATTTATTAGAGCCATTCAAGGAAATTTTTCACAATGGGGCACAGCAGTTCATTCACATAACTGGGTCAGAAAAACTTTCAGAAATTATCTTTTATGACAGCCTTGTACAATATTTTCATTAAATCATAACATAAGTATACACTGAGATTTTTTACTATAAAATCTCCAATCTGGGTTTGTGGTATCCAGTTTTATTATTAAGTTACTGCATTAAAATATATTTTTAATATCTCTCCCTTAAGCAATGGTCTTCTTCCAAAGTGTAAAATTACTTTTCCAAAAATGACCTACTTTGAAACACTTAAGAAAAGATACATTTGAGTGCTTATTCTAACTGTAGGTGGGACTACTTCAAGAAAAATTGGAAGACTTACAGAAAACTAAATATGAAATGGCTCAGAGCTATGAAATTCAGCTTCAAGCACTGAAATCTCAAGTAAGAAAAATGTCAATTTCATTATTTTGTGATTGTATTATGAAAAGCTTATATATGCCAAATGATATAGAGGTAGTGTTATGGATTTGGGAAAGATGAATCGTGTCATACAAATGATGATGACTACAACTTCCTCCCAGGCTCCATTATAATTTCTGTACTGTCATGTTCAAACTGCTTGGATGGATTTTGATGTGATTGTAACATCTGTTATGAAGACAGATATGTGATTTCCTGACTTTGGACTAACAAAAACTGAAAATTAATAAAACAGATAGTTAGATTTATGCTATTAAGACTCTGATGCACATTAGGAATTTTAAGATTTAAACTGTTCTTATGTCTTTGCTATACATTTTTCTGCTTTTAAGGGACTATTAAAGTGATTTGGTAGTTTTCCATAAGGTATAGCTTTCCACAGTATCAAAACAGGAGTAAGCTAGATTAATGATACTGGGAATTTGTTTGAGCTTTATTTATTTCAGAGTGTACTCACAGCCCAGAAAGCCAACTGTATCCTGGGCTGCATAAAAAGAAATGTGGTCAACAGGTCGAGGGAGGTGGTTCTTCCCTTCCACTCGGCTCTGGTGAGACCCCACCTGGAGTGGTGCATCCAGCTCTGGGGCACTCAGTACAAGAAAGACATGGACCTGGTCAGAGCGAGTCAAGTGGAGGCAACAAAGATGAGCAGAGGTCTGGAGCACCTCTCCTGTGAAGACAGGCTTTGAGAGCTGGAGAAGAAAAGGCTCCAGGGAAAGCTTAGTGTAACCTTTCAGTAGTTAAAGGGGGTTTATTAGAAAGATGGGGACAGACTTCCTATCAGGGCCTGTTTTAAACTGAAACCTGAGGAACAGTTTGGGTTTTTTTCAGTGAGGGTGGTGAAACACTGGAACAGATAGCCCAGAGAAGTTGTGGATGCCCCATTCCAAGGCCAGGTTGGGTGGGGCTTTGACCAACCTGGTCCAGTGAAAGATCTCCCTGTTCATGGCAAAGGGTTGGACTAGATGATCTTTTAAAGGTCCTTTTCAACCCAAGCCATTCTATGGTTTTATGATTCTGTTTGGCTGTGTTTGCTCTGCCACCTGCATTTTTGTTTCTTCACTATTTTCTACTTCAATCATAAATCAAAAATTTTTACGAAACTTCAGTTGTTTCTGTTTCTCACATTTGAAGAAGTTAACATACACAATTCTGTATTGTTTTTCTGGCCATTTTTCTGTTCCCTTCACTGGATTCTCCTGTGAGATACTTGGTGTTATAATTTCCAGTCATCACACTTACTATATAATCATCTTAGATTGCATAAATTGGCTATCATTATTTTCATTTAGAAGTGATAACACCACCTGAATACATAAAACAAATAAATGCATTACTTATTTTTAATGTTATGTTGTCTTTAATTTATATTTTGGTTTATATATGAAAATTGATTTGGCAAACAGTTCTGTAAGTAAGCAGTGAATCCTTTGGTTGTTTTGTAATTAACACTTTCAGTCATTTGGGAAAGTAGGTAGAGATAAAAGCTGTTTTATCATTTACACAAATTACATAAAAAGAAACATCTTAGCATGATTATGGAGAAGATAAACATCACACAGTGAAAACCAGTGTGACTTTTTATGTATGAGATGTAAGCTACCTTTAGCAATGCAGAACTATCTCCCAAAATATAGCATATCTCTCTCTTGTCCTATCCTTTTTCACATTTGCTGCAATATTTTTCACTTCTTAATGATTTTTTTAATCATATGCTAAAAGTGATTGGGTTTATGTTACATGTTCTTGCTAAGATCTTCAATGAAATTGGACCTTCTGAAATTAAAACTCCAGGCCATTTTTGATACAGATTTTTATTTTGAAGCTGTTAGTTACCCTACAGGTTTCCACAGGCAAATACAAAATTTTCTCCTTTTTAAAAGAAAAAAAGTATATGATATTTCCTACCTTCAAGCTTTTTTCTTTAAACCTGGTTATATTTTTTGCCCAGTTCCTCCTCTTTAGTTACCACTTAGACCATCTAACCTTTCTTTGAGTTTCTTGGTTGCTTCTTCTTTTATCTTTATTCAGAAGTTTAGATTTATAGCTCTTAAGAATATTTTCCCAGTCCATGTCTCCAAACATTTCCTCTTCTCTCAGTCATCCTGTTTATTTTGACAAAGGTTTCAGCACTGATGCTCTTTCCATTTTATTTTCTGATCCCCATTCTTATCCTTTCACCAAACCATATTTCTTCATGAAATGCCCATCTTGTACACACTAACTGAAGAAGTAAACTGTTGAACGCCTATGTTAGGAGGTCTGCCTGGATTCTCTGTGATAAACAGAAGTCTGCCTGTCAGAACAATTCCAAGCACCTGTGCTAGACAAGACTATCCCACTCTGTGTCTCTAGCTTTTACCAGTCTCTTTATTAAGTTTCTTTCTTGAATTACAGTGCCGCAGGGTCTACAATAAAATTACTTTAATGTCCCCAGTTCTCAGCTACACAAACTCATATCTAAAATATAGAGCTTCCTTGACAATATTAATCTTTGCCTTATCTCCTTTGACTCCCTTCTTTTGGTTCTTATCATCACTTGGAAGTTATACCACCTTCTAAACTGTATAATATTAAGAGCTACACTTTAGTTTTGCACAAATGGTATATTATTATATACCAATAGCATTGTAGCTTTCTCTGCAGATGTATTCTTAAAATTGCTCCCAAGATTTGTTCCTCCCTAATCTCACTAGAAATAGAAAGGATCACTTTTTCTAGCTATCAGAATGCTAGACTATTTCAAACAAATTTCTCTTCTGTTCTCTCTGCTTTTTTTTACTTGGTACTGCTAAAAGCAGCTGTTTAATGAGCAGTAGTCCCACTGAATTGATTATGTGCCTGTTGAATGCAGTAATACCTATATTTTTCTTGTATTAGGGAAATAATTCCTGGTATGTAACCTGAAACTCCTAGGCCACACTGCTGGACTCATTCAAATGTACAACATTTTGTCATAATTAAATAGCAAAAACTTTAGAGGTTCATCTTCATTACTTGTTCCTTCTTTTTTTTTTTTTTAATTAATGTCTCATAGCTATTCTCATTTTGAGAATGACAGAAATCTCTCAGCAAAAGAACAAGAATCTATTCTTGCTCTGAGCACTTGGCAACTAATTGCCTTGCTTAGACATTTAAAAGCTAGATGGCTACATCTGAACTACCTCAGGCTCCCTTTAGAATCAATGGAGAGAAATGGACACCCCTAGAATACAACTCATGTCAGTGTATGACAAGAATTTAAGATAGCTGAAATGACTAAGCATTTGAAGGCAGCTTTTTCTAATGCAGAGTAGCTCAGGCTTGTACGTCTAACTTTCAGAAATCTGAATTTAGAATAATTCTACCCCAGAATTCACTGAAGTGCCTCATCTTTTGGTCTTCTGTTTGTTTTTTTTTTTCTTTAATATGTAAACCATGCAAAGAGAACAACTTGGATGTTTTAAAGTGAATATCTAGCATTAAATGGAAGGATTCTTGGCTTTTAGTCTAGTTTCTAGTTATGATAACATCCATAATCTAATCTGTCTGTAATATACGACTATATGTCATATACATATACTACTATATGTCATTATGTTATTAAATGCTCAGACTGAATTTTCTGATTTTGGCCATTCTGTTACATTTTAGACTGATTTACTGAACTGCTGGATCCTGTATTTCCTAACCTTTTTAGCACGAACATTCTAATACCTGTCTTATCTGAGTTTGCTCTTCCCAGGCAGTTCACATATGCCATAATATATTCAAGAGCAAAACTGTTATTCGCAAAAGGGTATCTTTCTTCCAAGGGCAATGAGTTCCATGTTGTTTGAGCCTGTATACTCTTGACTAATTTCAAATATTTTATCTTAACTGTGTTCTCTGGCAAGGTCAACTTCAAATATAGGCAGATACTCTGCAAGACTTCTGATTCAGTTTTGAAGGCAGTATCTCAGCTCTGTAAATCTGTGTTACAGAATTGCTATTCAGACATTCCAAGTTGGTCAAATCTATCCACAGGCCTCCCCATTTCATGAAACTTTTTAGTCCAGGACAATCTATCTTCTTTTCAGTTTTTCAATTAGTTTTCTCTGTCCCATATTATGATTCCCAAGTTCATCTCAAATGTCTCTAGGAAGCTTCCATACAATTTTTTTTGCTTCAGTTTCTGTATCTTTTCTAGACTTCTTTGGCCATCTCTGTCATCTGCACAAACCTCAGTTGTTCAGTCCGTGTTGATTCAACAGGATTCCATTCCATTTCCAGTTACTTCCTTGGAAGTAATTTCTTTTCCAAACAGTAGTTCACTTTGAGCAGTTAATAAAAATATGAGATTTTATGGATTTTGTTTGGTTATACAAAGAACTTTATGTTAGAGTCAGAATTTTTAAAGTCATATATACCTGAATTTAAAGGAACTTACCAACAAGAGACACGATCAGTAGTTATAGTTATAAGGTTCTTTTCTACTCAACATTCTTCACAAAGTTCTTTTGCTCAGCTTTCCCTAAAACTATATTTTTAGTGTTTCCTTTGTCAATATTCTTGGGTCTGCTTTTTTTCCCCAAAACAAATGTACATATCCCTACCAGATAAGGTCAGTTTTCTGTATCAAACCTGTTAACAGCCATTAGAGAGACCCTTTGGTTGTGCAGTAGAGTGAACTGTTGATCAGACCAGCTGTTTTCTGAAGGGGCTGGTACTTCCCTTGGTGCGTTCCCTTCTCTGCCTCTACCTCCTTTCCTCTGAGTCCTAAGCTGGGTTTTCATGGTAAGATCAGTAGGCAGTGTCTTTTGTCTATTTAGTGTCTAATTCTGTGAGACACTCTGTGGTAATCAACGATTCCAGCAGAATGCAATCATCACACATGTAACATTTCCACAGTTTTCACTATAAGAAAGAAACATGCAAGTTTAAAGTACATTAATGATAATCTGTCATTGTTACTAGTGAAGCATCCTTTAAATATGTCAACACAAGATGGCAGTAAACAAGTATAGAACATTCCATATAAACATTAAAAAGGAAGTGACTCTATGGGTAACTGCTATGAGAACTTCAGCAGAGTTAAGTAGCTGTCAAATGAACCCATTTGAAATGTTAACTAACATTTATGTGAGAGCTTAGTCTTGTTCATCTATAATAGATTAACTTTATTAATTGATTTTTTGTTACATTGATTAAACATTTAGAATGCTTAAGCTGCAGCTGGTGTTGCTAGTTTAAAGAAAACTTTGGCCATGTGGTCATCTTTGATAGATTTTTTCATGTTCAACTCTGCTTTTGTTTGTAGTTTTCAAAGTTGACACATAGTTATGAAAAGCTACAGTCACATCAGTTAAAACACAAAAAGGTCAACAGTAGAGAAGAATGTGAGGAAAGCCTAGTGACATCGTCTGACCCTAGAAATTTATACAAGAAATTGGAGGTAAGAATACTTCGTTATTATATTCTAATTTTAATATCCCTTTAGAACTAATCTGTGATTTACAGTTGTAAGCTTTAATTTTCTCATAATTCTACAAAAATTATATCATTTTCTTGCTTTGGCAAGAAAGATGCATAGTTTAATATTAATATGAATTTTTTTTAAGAGTAACTATAAATAAATGTTACTGTTTTCCTGATTAGTATATGTGTATATGTGGATTATATGATCTCATCAGACCTTTTACATATGCAGGGTACTGTCACATAATACCTACCATTAATTCAAGTTTTATAAACCTCAGGACAACCTTGACCATGTTGGGTTACGTGGAAAAAAAAGATTTAGGTTTGGAAAACTGCTTGTTGCACATGTATCTTGACAGCACCCATGTAGCTGAGACAGTCCACAACCTTGACCTCAGTGCCTGGTTTCCCAAGGTGATGCCTGAGGAAGGATTAGGCACTTAAAATACATGCCACAGAATCCAGCATACTGACTGGGGGACTAGATAATAGGTGCTGAGAACAGAATCCAGTCACATTTCCTATCCCTTTGGACACAGAATGGATTGTAGTGGACCTGTTCTTGGATATAGGATGATAGTTATTTCTGATCATAATTCCCAGCCTTATCTTCTCAGAGTTACAGTTTACTTTACAATCTGTGGAGTAATCAAATGTTTATTGGACCAGCAGAAAAGTTAGGCAACACAGAGAACTGGCATGTAGAGAGTGTGCCTGGAAGTGGTGTCTTCTCCCCAAATACTTCTCTGGCTCCATTCACTGGTGCAGAAACTGGTATCCAGCCTCAGTTCTTATAACTGAGCGATATAATCTCTAGCTGTGCTAACTTTTGCTGCTTCTTTTTCGCTTACCCAATAAATTTCCTGGTATTCTGTGCAAAGTGAAGCAACTTCAAAATGAAGAATTCCAGAGCCTGTTAAAAAATAACATGTTTTTTGGGTAGAAAACGAATATGAGAAGATTCTACTTCAGATTCTGTCTGGAAGGATTATGAAACTGTCTTCCACATACGGGAAGAACAGCCTAACCTGTAATCTGATGAAGCATAGGAAGATCACAAAAAAAATTTGTACTTTCTCTGGCCATCCTTTGTAAAGAGCATAATAAAATAGTATATGCTTAGAGTGCTTACCAAACTGGGTCCTGCAGGCAAAGCAAGCAGAGGAATATCAATTGAAAGTGAGAGCTAGTTGCCTAGCTGCTAAGCATTGGGAAGATTTACATGTTTATGATGTAGATTTATGATGCAGATGATGCGGATACTGAGAATTTATGATCAAAAAATTAAGCTGTAGTAGATTTTAAGTACTTTTGTACTTTAACTGTAATTAAGCAAGGTTTTAGGGTCTTTATTTTGGACTTGTCTGTCTTTTATGTTCTTCTATAAGATACAAGATTAACTTCTGCAACCTTCAGGTGACTGTACCTACACAGATATCCTAGACACATCGTAGTTCTCCATGATGTTGCTGTCTCTTCCACATGGAAGTTCTTACCATCAGAAAAGCTACTACAATTTGAACTGCAGCATAACTGCCAACAGCTGCTACTACAAGAATAATAAATGGGCTATACATCTATCATTGTTTAAATATATCACTGCTGTGAAACTGTCTGATCGAGCTAATTTGAGAATAACCTTATTCAAGATTAAAATTTGAAAATAATGTAAGACAATGCTGTAATTTGATTAATTATGCAGTATGAAAAATAAGTGCTTGGAATATATTTAGCAAATTCTAGTATACAGGAAATAATTACTGTATTGAAAATTTACTAAGCTCAGCAGTAAGACCTTGAATCTGATATTCTCATTAAGTAATCTGAAACTCCATTTGTATCATGTTTTATAAAATAGAAAGATATTTATTGTTTTAAATGCCAAGGCAGATATTAGGAAAGCTATGAAATAAGATTTGTATTAATCTATGTTGAAAAGCATTCAATTTTGTTTCCGTAGAAAAAAAATCTTATTTTTTAAATTTGGGGAATATGCCAGTTTAGGTTAATTATAAAATATCATCTGTCTTTTTGGAACAACATTTCCATTGTGAAAAAGGACATTCTCATAATAGTTTATTAGTTTCCACTGTATAAAGGATTACACTATTATTTTGCTAACTTTTCAAACTAAAAGAGCAACAGCTCTAAACTGGAGTTCTCCTGCTTATTTTTTAGTATACTACCTTTAAAGTCTATTTGTGAACATATAAGATCTGGTATGATCTAAAAGCAAATTCAAATACTCTATAAATATGAATGTAAGTGCAAATACAAAACCAGTATTAGATAAATCTGATGTAATAGAATTAAACAGGTTTTTGTTTAAACTAGGTGAACTCAGAACCCAAAGCAGCCATTGCAAAGAGGGCAAGAAGTAAAATTTATTCAAGGTAGCTGCTGACCCATCTGTTACAGAAAAATAAGAAGGCAAAAAGCAAGCACTCAAAACATGTGTCTGAATATTAAGGATTTGATTCCCTGTTGATTACTCTGCTTGATATTGATATAACTTTAAAGTCACAGGAACAACCATCCAATAAAATGAATATATTATGGTAATAGTCTAATATCTACAGCAATTGTTTAAAATATTTTATATGTTTTATAATTTATATAGTTTTGTAATATATTTTATAATTTTTATTCAGGGATTATGTTTATCATCCATTTTTGTCAGATTAATATCCCTTAAGACTGGATTTTTTTCTGGTGAGGATGACTGGATGGCTGGTTTATATAATTGTTATTATTTTCTTCTTTCCAAAATTATGGAAAGATTATGTATTAATTAAAAAATTAACTTTTTTTTTAGAACTATACAAATTGCAAAAATATTTAGATTATGGAAAAGAGATATTTTCCCTATGTTTTCTAGTCTTGTTTTTTTGTCTTTCAGGAATTTAAATTGAGAGAAGGGGGTAAGAATGGGACAATCTGCCAAAATTATCCTGTTTATTTGGATGCTCAACAAAAATTATTGTCCGAGAAATATAATTTATTTCAGGTAAAAGTCCTACCTTCCTGCTCTAGGAAGAAAATGAATGGTTTGCTCAGCTAGAACTTATTTTAGCTTAATTTAAAAAAATTAAGCTCAGAGTGAATCTGATAATGCATGTCTATATTGGTAGTGAATATATAGCATTAGGTAAGGCAGGGCCATACTGGAAGATCTAATGATACATACAGTTATTTTACTTTAATTTTACTTTAATTTTCTCATGTAAATGAGAAGATGAATAAGTATCATGATGAAAATAACATTTCTAAAAAAAAACCAAAACAAAACAACAAAAAACCTGCAAAATCCAGTGAATATTCCTTTTTTACTTTTAAAGTATATTGTGGAGATACTTTTATCTTCTGTGCAATTTACTGATATGCAATTGATTATGACAAGTTATTTAAAAAGTTTCTTACCAAGTAGTACATGCCATGACTATGCTGACTCAAATATAAAGTTCCTTCCAATCTGTTAGCCTTTGTTTTTTCAGAAGATCATAAATATATACTAATACTGTTTATGCAGAAAAACGAATTTTCATATGCTACTCCAGAATCACTCTTGGAGTTGTTTGCTGGATCACTTAACCCTTTTTTTAACATATTTTTCATCTTTCTAGTTATGATTCAGTCCTTGGTTGACTTTGTGATTCTTTTTTACTCGCCAATTTGCTCATTACTTTTTCGATATATAGCCTATTGATCCAGCATGTCTTAATTTTTTTAATTCCTTCCAATCCAGAACAAAATGTTGATTTAATGATGTCTTGATGACCTATTTTGCACTAAAAAAAAAAAGAAAAAGAAAATAACTCACAAACTGTCTGGGTCACAAGACACCTCGAAAATTAAGTAAGGGGAAGCCAATTATGTTGCTGACTGGTAATTCCCTTTTTCACTGTTACTAAGCTCATTGGATCTTTAGTGAAGCTTTTTCTTAATGATTCCTATGAGACTCTTTACTCATATCCAGAGTTCCAAGAATGACAGTCAAGTTTTGGGTTTAGTTGCTGAATTATATTCCAACTATTGAACTTCCATACAAATGTGTTAAAAAACCAAGTCTTTGACTAGACAAAACTATTGACTGATACATATTGATTATATAGTTAGACAAGTCAAAATAGAGTACTCAGAGTGATCATTTGCATTTTTCTGTTGAGCCTTTCATTGCCAAGAGTGAACTTTCTTTGAAGACAATTTTCTTCACAACTGTAACAGAGCACCTGTTCTGATGGATTGTTACCCCTTAACTGTTTCAAAAGTGTCAATTGTTCCTGTGTCTTTGTCTCTAGTTGCTCTTTTGTGAGGTCTCTGATCGCCAGTTGGAGTCTTGCACTATATTTTTCTCAGGATGCATTGACACTTTGATATGTCAGAGTCCATAACTTAGATGTCAAAGGGACCTTAATTTGTTATCTCTAGGAATGAAACTGCAAATTTCTCTTGGCTTTTTATTTGATATGCAGCCAATGGTCCATTCTGCTTAGGTTCTCAGCCAACACAAATTACAGGAACATAGTCAATAACATCAAAAGCTGTCTAAAGCGTGACTTCTTGCAGTCCTTGTCAGTGAAATATGGTATTTGTAACCCTATTTATTTTTACGATATATTTTCTTGCTCAGCTTGGTGTCTGCACATGATATATGATTTTCAGATTATATTTTGTTGTCATTTTTCAACTAATTTTCAGTCTTCTGAAAGATTAGTACTGCTTGTTAATCTCCCAGTAGAGGGGCCCATGTGGATAGTTTTTTAAACAGCAAAACCGGTTACCATAGTAATTATGCTTCTTCACAATGCCTGTGAATTCAGAAATACTGGCAAAACCAATTTTCTGAACTTTTGGTTTTAGGATTTTAGTTAGCACAAGAAACTGAATGAAGTGTAAGATTCTACAGAATGTGCAAATAATTCTTCCCCAGGTTTAAGGATAATGAACTCAAAGAAGTACAGTTCCTGTAGTAACTGAGCTGTTTATACATGAACTATGTAATGCTAGCCCCCTAGTCAAAGGTTAATATCTATCCTGAGGCGCACACACACACAACTCCTACTGAGTTCAATGAATCGAAGAGGAACATTTCTCTCAAATTATTTTCTATAGGCAACTTCTTTGAGTAGGTCATCATAATCACCTTTTTCACATTTGAGGATCATTAACATTAAGTACCAGGAAAATACACAGCACAGGAGAAAAAATCCTTGAAAAAATTCTATGCCCTTGAAGGTTTCTGAAACATATTTTTACTGAGGGCAAGGAACATGAGACCAAAAAAAAAGGAAGTATCTTTTAGAGAAGTAATTAAAACTGTTCCAATTGTGCCACCTTTTCTAAGCAAATACTGGTGAAGATGTAAATAGCTTTATGATTTCAGTACCAACGGTTTGGTCCTAGCAATTTACACGTAATTATTGAATTCATTTAAAATATTTTCTTGTTTTATAGAAGCAGACCCAGAATTATCAATTCCAAATACACGATAAGAAAAAAAATCAAGAAGAGGTGATTACCTATGCCCAGCCTGAAAGTGAAAAGGATGATTTGATTATTGAAAAACTAAAGGCAACTGTGAATGAAATAGCAAGGAACAAGAATAAACTCGAAGAGGAAAATCTGAAGCTCCGTGAAGATCTAAAAGTGTACCAAAACCAGTGCCAGGTAGTAACAGTTTTTCATGGTCACTATGGAATTAATGCTGGAAAATTAATTACTTAGGAGTATACTTTTGTATTGAGATGCCTACATAAAAGATCTGTACATTAGGTGTATTCTTTGCAGGAACACAGAATGATCTGTGAACAGTATGATTTTTTTTTTTAGTAAATTAGAAATAGGTTTGATTTGTAGTAGTATATTTTTTCTTCTCTTGTTTATCTAGAGTTATATAGCTTTCCTCTATCCATAGCATCTCCAGGAATGTAGCCTAGTTCACTTGGTTCCTTGTATTCAAATGACTTCTATGAAATCTCTTTATCTGATTTATATCTTGTTGCACACTGTGCCATATAGCTAGTAAATAAGTATATACAGAAGTGTGCAGTATACTTTGTTATTTTTGAGGGGAGATTTGCAGTCAATGAATTTTTAAGTCGCTCTCCATGTAAAGAATCATTAGTTTTTACCTTACCCCTAGATCACTGTTTTTCTGCATAGCACTGATCTATGAAAACAGCCATTTGCGCCTCTTCTTTTGGTCTTGGTATATGAGTTCTGACAAGATTGAGATAATACAAGATCTTTACAGCCTTTTTTACTAGCTGTGTTTGAAACAGATCGGGAATGAGATTCTCGTTGCTATTTTTTTCTGGTAGCATATATCATTTATGCTTTTGCTTATTTATTTAAGCACTTCTAGGTTCAGTAATATATTGAATGGCCTCTAGTAACTTCAGCTCTTTCTGGAGAAAGATCCATTTCTGCTTATAGACAGCCTTGCAGAGTTATAACAGCATATGCAATAAACTTTATGGGAATTAGCATATATGTGGCAGAGGTTAATTTCAGGTGTTGTCTGAACAGCCAAGTCATGTCATTTGCACACTTGTTCACTGAGTCTTTTGCCTTTTACAAGTTATTGGTATACAAGCAAAACCTCTGTTTTGGTGCCTGTTAAAAAGCCTGCCACCAAAAGCAGTGGTACTAAAATACAGAGTGGAACAACCATGGCATTTGGAGCAAGCGGATAGATGCTGTAAGATGGAGAGAGTAGATGTCATGTGCTGTAGCCTTTAAGAAAATCTTCAAACAGGAGGAATTTTGGAATGCTGAAGAAAATACAGGAGGTGTAGGAAGCACTGAAGATGTTTTAAGTAGAAGTGGAGATAGATGTACATAACATTGTTACCTAAAGGGCAGAAAGTTGCAGAATAACTGTGTTGGTGGTGTGGAACACTGCTGTATTAGAAAAACTGCATTTGGAAATAGCTGCATAAGGTAAACACTGATGTAACGTCAATTTATAGTGAAAAGGGGTAGCCCAGAGGAAATATCTTTTTTAGGAATGTCTGTATGAGAAAGAAGGAAGTGTGAGGGCTGCTGTCAGCCAGAAACAGTAAGCAGGTTTGCATGAAGGAGAGATAGGTGGAGGATGGGAACAGCTGAACATGATATAGGTAAAGGAGGAAGCAGTAGATGGGAATCCTGGTGTGAAGAAGTCTGATGGCAATGAAAGCAAGACATTTATTGTGCCTCATATATCCTCTATGTCTATGACCATTTCATTTGTGCTGCCAAATACTTCTTTCATGCTATTAATTAGCAAGTGATCAAGTGAAATGTATGGAAGACCAGTTTGTTGGCTGTACAGAAAATACAAAGTTTAGAAAATCCAAATGGACACTGCATTCTATTTCTCTACCTTATGAATTATCTGACAAACTTATCTGCAGCCATACATGCGAAGCAGCCTGAAAACATCACACAGGGGGCTTGGTTCTTGAAAAGTCTGCATTAAACTGCTAGACACTAATTTACATAGAAACACATCATATGATGCGTTGAACAGTGGGTTGGCATTGGGAAGGGTTTGGTATTTGGGATGCTCCAGGGGTGGCCTCTGTGAGAAGCTGCTAGAAGCTTCCCCTGTGTCTGACAGAACAAGTGCCAGCTGGCTCCAAGATGGACCCACCACTGGGCAAGGCCAAGCCCATCAGTCACAAACACCTTGGGGATAACATATTCAAGGAGGGAAGAAAAGAGCCCCAAGCAGCCACAGTCAGGAGGAAGGAGCGAGAACATGTGAGAGAAAAAGCCCTGCAGACCCACAGTCAGTGAAGAAGGATGGGGAGGAGGTGCTCCAGGTGCCAGAGCAGAGATTCCCCTGCAGCCCATGGTGCAGCCCATGGTGAGGCAGCTGTGCCCCTGCAGCCCGGGGAGGCTCATGGTGGAGCAGAGATCCACCTGCAGCCCATGGAAGACCCCATGCCAGAGTGGGTGGATGTCCAAAGGAGGCTGTGGCACCATAGGAAACCTGTGCTGGCGCAAGCTCCTGGCAGGATGTGTGACCCCATGGAGAGTGGAGTCCGCACTGGAGCAGGTTTTGTGGCAGCATTTGTAACCCCACAGTGGGGGACTCACTCTGGAGTAGCCTGTTCCTGAAGAACTGCACCTCATGGAAGGGACTCACACCGGAGCAGTTCCTGAAGAACTGCAGCCCATGGGAAGGACTCACATCAGAAAAGTTTGTGGAGGACTGTGTCCTGTGGGAGGGATCCCACACTGGAGCAGGGGAAGAGCGTAAAGAATCCTCCACCTGAGGAGATTTAGTTTTTATTTCTCATTATCCTGCTCTGATTTGATTGTCATTAAATTAATTTCCCCAAGTTGAGTCTGTTCTGCCCGTGGTGGTAACTGGTGACTGATCTCTCCCTGCCCTTATCTTGACCCACAAGCCTTTCTCATGTCTCTGCCCTGTCCAGCTGGGGAGGGCAGTGATAGAGTGGCTGTGGAGTGCTGTGGTGGGTTCTACTCAGCATTGAGTAGAACTAGAGCTGATCAGGAAATTTTTGAGGTTTTGTTTTGGTATCAAGCGTGCCAAGCTAGTCAAAGCAAAACTTTTGACAGAAGAAAAGAGAAGGTTTGGTAAATTTTCAGCTTGAAATAGACTCTTAATAAGTTGCATTTTATTTGATGTTCTCTAAACAAAACCTAAAGTTTTCTGATTCAAAATTAATTTTAATTTTGGTGTTTTAACTGGATGCAATAAATATTTTCTAAAATAATAAGTGGTGTATATATATATTCTTAAGTGATATGTGAAATGGTGAAACTCTTGACCTGAAGGACTGTTTCAATTATTATTTCAGCTGCTGCTGTGACTGCTGTTCTTCCTGCAACTATTATAATTTACAGAAGAAAATACAATTTATGTAAATATGTATGATGACTACAGACAATATGACTTCTGCCACACAATTGTGCAAAATTCATTTCCTTTATCCACCCCAGAATGAAATCAGAAGGGTAACTGTCTCCCAGGTTCATATATTATAAAATAATTGTGGCTATTTCTTGAGTGTTGAAGTCATGAAGATGATAATAAGCAAGTCTTGCAGACAGTTTTAACAGTTCATTAAGCTTTATTTCACCTGCATAGGCCCTGACTTGCATTTCATTGTTTAAAAAAGCTCTCTTGGCCTTAATGTAGCAAAGGATAAGATGAATTAATCCATATATGCAGCCCTTGCAAAAAAAACCCCAACAATGTAAAAGCACTTCATATCTGTCTTCAGCAGCCCTTTCAGCCAGAAGAAAACCACAGGCTTCTTGAAAGGAAGGTCATTCTCATATGAGGCTCTAAGGGAAATAAACCTTTGAAGTTCTTTCTTTCAGTGTAATTTCTGGATTCCAGTTGTCTTTTGAAACTTTAGAGGCTTGGCTTTATTTTTGATTTTAAAGATGGAAACTATGTTCAAATAAAATTAAGAAATTATGAGAAATACTAATGTTTTCAGTGCAATGGTTTTAAAGGTAAAGGATCAACATCCTTGGAAAAATCCTTTTGTTTTTAATCTGGAACATGCTTTTTGATCTTAGGTGACAAGAAATAAATATTCTCTGTATATTATTATTGCAAGAACTGATTATTATTGCTACTTTTGTTATTTGTGGGTTATATTTCCAAGTCCTTGTCTTTAGTATGTTTTCAGTTTATTTTTGTGGAATTCTGATATTTTTTTTTGAAGTTCATATTTTATTATGCCAAATGTAACGCCTTCAGGTTGTCTATCACATTATCAATCAGAAATTAGAAGTAAAGCAGAGATATGATTTGTCAGGTCCCTAAGAAAAATCTTTTTGTGATTTTTTTGAACATTTTGTGATGTTCATTTAAATAAGCAATTAACACCATGCAGATGGACCTAGTTTTGGAGATGATTTCTATAGCATTGTACTTTTCAGGCTTATAAATTTGGAAATGCTGTTAAGAAAAAAAAAGGAAACTACTTATGGCAGTAATTCCTGCATGTGAAACACGTTCTATGATGCTGCTAAAACAAGCAAACTATGTATTTTACATGCATTTAGTACAATAAAGAACTTCTGAATCATGTTTCCTATGATAGTTTCAGAAAAAGATGCATTGGAACATTGCAAGAGCTAAAGAATATTCAGCATCTGATTTTTAGATGAGATTTCTGAAGAAGGGAACTGACAGGAAAGCAATACTTTTTTCAGAAATTAAAATCATGTGTGTCCGTTCATTTAAATTGTACAGGTCTTGAATACAATGTGTTCCAATACAGCATTTTAAGCTTTCTAATTTTATTTAACTGTTTATGTATTTGTTTGTTTCTTTAGAATATGGAGGCAGACTTTTCAGAAATGAGACATGAGCTGCAGTCACGGGATGGTCTCTGGAGAAGGATGCAGCTGGAATGCCAGCAGTTGCATACAGAATTATTGAAAATCAAAGAGTACAAAGATACACAGGAAATTCAAATAAAGTATGTATGTTGAAAACAATATTTAAATTAACAAGTACTTCTGAGCTAATGACTTTTTTCTTACATTTTATTTACATTAACTCTGTTTAAAAAGATAGTCTGGATTCAAATATCAGATCCTAAACAATTTTAGGCTGAGCATTTTCATTGGTAATTATATACGATAAGATTTCAGGCAGTGGATGCAGACTCTGTTAAAAGGCTTTAATGATGCCGAGATCTTTACAAATCAAGGCATTTCATATATTTCTACCAATGTGTTTACAGTCTTTCATTTTCTCAGCATTAAAACACCTTGGAAATAGTGCAATTAAGACTCTCCCTGATCTCCTTGAATAAAATGTTTGTGTTTTTATGGCTTATCTAATCTGCTGTAGTCATTTGAGATTATATGAAATACCAGTCTACAAGAGCTTTCAGGATTATTCCTGTATATACTTGCAGTGTCCTGAACCTCTAGACATCTCCCACCTGGTTTAGGCCAAATGTTGGTTGGGGTTTGTTTTTTTTTCATCAGCAAGCAGGTGTTCCGCAGTACTACACTGTGGAGAGGATACTGTAGGGTAAAGAGTACTGAATGTTCTGCTTGTTTCATGTTTTGTTTATTTCTTATTTAAAGGCATCAATCACCTTGTGTTCAACTTACTGAGCAACTAGAAAATAAAAACACTGAGTTATTACTATTTGCAGAAAGTCAAGAACGCCAACAAGAAGAGCTAAACAAGGTATTTCCAGATCTTAACTGCAGTGTAGGATTTTTAGAAGAGAGGAGGGTATGTGGGTACGCAGAAGAGAGCAGGAGAATACACTGTAGGTTTAGGAGAGCATGGAGGTTTCATATGTGAAAAAGATTTCATATATGCTTGCATTTCTGGAGGTAGTTATGTAGATGTAAAATTGACATTCTGATTCCCATGAAGTAACTACCTACATCATTGAAATAATGGGAGAGAGCATGCCTAAGCATTGCTGTGATTCAGATAATGCCATGCAACTAATAAAGCCTGCAAGGCTATGAGTAATTAATAGCCTATAGGAGGTAAGTTGTAGCTTGTAGGTGGTCTCAGGATATGCAAACACATCAACTGATACAAGTTAGTACAGCAGATACCCACACAAGGCTAAGCTTAATCAGGTACCTGCTATGCAGTCGAGGGCAGTGCTCTTTAGTTTGAACCATGCATCACATTGCATTGCACATTTCAGAAGCGCTGTGAGCAAGCAGCCGTGGCATGGCACTGTGGAATGGTGGATGCCTTGGCAGGCCAAAATACTTTGAATGTAGAGGATGCTCAGAACTCATCTAACAGGCATGTCGTAGTTTTGCTGAGTAGCGGTGTAAGCAAGAATCACAGAATCACAGAATTGTTTGGGTTGAAAGGGACCTCTGGAGATCATGTAATCCAACACCCCTGCCAAGGCAAGGTCACCTAGAGTGGGTTACACAGGAATGCATCCAAGTGGGTTTTGAATGTCTCTGTTTCGATGAAGCTGACTTGGATGCAAGAATTTTGGCATGACAGTCATGATCAAGCTCTTAGGTTTTTTGTATTTACATCTTTTTGTTTAAAATTCTAATATTTCTGTGCAGTTTCCATAAATAAAAATGAAATGCCATCTGTTACTCATTGTGTACACTACTGCAAGGAATGGGTTCAAAAGTCGTTAGGCTGGTGTTTGTAGTTTTGTTTCTTAGACAATAAAAAAAATCTATCAGCACTAAACTGTTGGTTGTAGTAGAAAGATTATGAAAACAATCTTTGTGTTGATACTTTGAAGAACTCTGCACAGGAGATAGTGCAGAAAGTTTGACCTTAAATTTTATGTGTAATGGCAGGAAAAATTCTCATAAAGTGATTTACCATATATACTCTTTATTTCTAACATAGTCTCTTATTAAAGGGTCTCTAGATCAATTTTTTTATATTGCTCCTGAGTTAATTTAGGTTTCACTAAACTTATTTTAAACTAACTTAGGAGCAATATAAATAAATCATACTTAAGCTTATTGAATGGATATTTTCTTGGATATTTACCATAAATTTCAATATTTTATTTTTATTACTTTCTTTTAAAACATTAATTAAGACATGTTATATTTTGTTCATTGCTAATACTAAATATGCAAATTCTCACAAGAGAACTGTTGAAAAAAGATGTAAAAATAAATAAAGCTCTGTGCACTGACTCATGAAGACATTTTATTTTACAATGTCAAAATCTCTGAATCAGTTAGAAGAGTTGGTGTCTTGGAAGCAACAGCAAAAAAAGTCACTGATAAGTAGCAAGTGATGCAATGATATTTACTGCACAACATTTTTTCTTTTTGAAATGTACTTGCTACAGATAAGAAACCACATTTATCGAGAGGAGCAGTCCCATTGCTCTGAGCAGGAAAGAATGAAGACAGAAATCTCTGACCTGACAGAGGAGCTTCATCAGAAGGAGATCACTATAGCAACTATCATGGAGAAAGCTACTCTTCTGGAAAGACAGTTAAAAATTGAGTTAGAGACAAAAGATAAATTGTTAGCAAAACAACAGGTATGCAAGCAGGCAAAACCATCTTACATCATTTTACTCCACACTATTGATAATGACATTCATTATCGGTGAAAAAAAGACATTACATTTCTCATGTAGTTTTTATCAGTAGCGCTGTAATATCTGTGTAGTATTACTAAAGCAGCCAAATTGACACTGGAACACAAAACCACTAATAAATGTCAACTGTACATCCAAATTGCAATTTTTTCTTACTAGATTTCAACATGCAAAAGACCTTGAAAACTTCCAAGTTGTGGTTATTATATATGCTTTATCACTAGAACTGTTTATTTGATTATCTAGAAAGTTTCTAATTTTTAGTGTTATATAAAGCTCTTTGAAGAATGTTACAAATCTGCATAGAAAATTCTTGCAATTTTAGAGCTGGAAACTCTTAAGATAACAGTGTTTTAATGGCAAATTACTGTTTTAAAAAAATGTTATCTTCATTATTTAGTTTGTAAACAAAAGAACTTTTATATTTATAGGTTTATGGTTGACTGTGGGTTTTCTGAGAGGGTCACTACATGTTGAAAATTGTGATTAATGTAATAGTTTACTTTTGACAATAGGAAAGTTAGTGTTTGGGGAAGATTAGAGATGTCCACTAGTGTGTGGCACTCTTTACCAGGTCACATTCCTGATCATATCACTAAAAGAGTAGATGTTGTTTCTAGGCATCATGACTAGGATTTCATTCAGTTTCTGTGACCTGTAAAATCTGCCCCTCTTTGTATCTCATAACTGCATGTGAACTTCCTTTTTTTCATAAGTCTTTACTTCTTTCAAAAAGGTAAATAAAATCAGAGACATTTGTAAATCTTCTCTAGATGGCTTAATGCTTCTTTCTGCTTTATTGTTGCTGTATTTAAAAATATTATAGTAAGTATTGTTACTACTTAATTAAATAAACTGAAATATCTATACTCAGTGTTATTCGAGTTAACAGTAACATTCTTGTATTTAACTAAGAATTTAATCTTTTCCTAGTTATTGGAATTCCAATACCAAGTTATCAAATCTGAAAACACACATCTAAAAGAGATGGTGGAAAACCAGGAGCATGAAAGTTGCATGGTAATTTTTTTAATATATGAAGTATGGAGAACAGTTATGTATACTTACTGTAAATGTAGATTGAGACCATGGCAGATTTAGAGATTTCTGGCTTGCATAAAGTAAATAAATAAAAATAAGGTGTGCAGCATAATCAGAATCAAGTGGTGTTCACGCATAGCATGAAGATGGTTATAGCTAGGAGTAATTTCTACCTTAATTCTATTAAACAATAAGCTAAATTTTTCAGTAACTGTCTAGACACTAAAGAGGTTCTGGGAGCCTATTTTTTTGTAAGTGATGTCACTTGTTTAAGTTTAGACAGTCATCCTCACAGACACAAAAATATGTCCCTTTTAGTATTTTACACCTTTGTTCATATGTTATTTACCTAACAGTGTAGAAAACTGACATATTTTGCTCCACCCACCTTATTTTCAGAGTTTAGTATTTATTTCTCTCCAAACAGGAGATGTTTAAAATTTAATTCATAAAAACTGTGCCATAAGGTTATGTAGAACTTTAGTTTATAAAAATACCTGCTGCCTACCACAAAAACTTCAAAACGCCCCCTGCTTACAGAACATCTGCAGTTATTCTATCAATCATTAAAAAAACCCAAACACTGGAATGTTCTTTGTAAGTACTGAGGTAAATACATTTTTGGAGGATTTGTAGCCTGTTAATTGTCTTACTGTATCTGACAAATGCATGAAAGAATGTCACGTATATCCACACCCTTAAAATAGCATATATATATGTCAGTGATTCCTTACCTATATATACATATACTCTACTATGGATATATGTGTATTTATATATTATATATTATTGTGGAAACAAAGATGGATGTGTGCATGCATGTCTAGCTCTTCTCTACAGTGATACTCTCCTTGAAGATTGAGAAGAGCTGTCTGACAAGAGTCCTTGGATGCCTCACTTGGTTTTTAAATTTTAACAGTAAAATCCAGTTACTACATATACCAAGGTCAATATACATTTCAGTGGATTTGTGGACTTAATAATTCTTTCCTGCTTTACTAAAGTATTGTGAGGATCCAAACAATAAAGATTGTGAAAAATTTGATATTCAGATTGTGAAATATTTGATATTCAGATTCCAGGAACTGGGGAGGTTTTTATGGATGCATTTGTGCTGTATGGTGGAGCACTACACAGACCTCTCAGACTTGTGTCAGCCTAAGTCAGTGTGGTGTAATGCGTCATCAGACAGGGTTACTTTCAGGGTTTAGATTTCAAAAGAAACATAGCTACGCCAGCTCAGTTTTGGGGTTACATGCCATTGTAACTTAACTGCTGATTCTAGATCTATTACTGTTAGGATGAGTTAGCATTCTCCTTCTTCCTCTGTTCTGCCACTCCTTCCACTTGCAAGACATAGCTGAGCCCCTGCTCCCCCATTGTTACAAAAAATATTAATTTTTCTTATGCTTTCTAGCATTTCTATTCCAGTTTGGCTCATAAATTTCCCTTAAAAGTAGCTAAGCAAGGCAAGGTTCACAGGAAGAGGTGGCATCAAACCAGTTAGTGGAAGGAATAGACAAGGTTTCAGGTGCAGGAGCACAGTTGTGCTAGCAGTATACTAAGAACCAAACCTGTAATACTCATGAGTTACCAGGTTCCAAAAGAATAAAGTAAATCTAGAAATATATGAAAGAACAACTTAATAAAAGCAAGGGGGTTTAGTGTTTTGTGTGCAATCTGATAAACATTTTGAGAATTTCCTGTTGATGACAGTATACTGTTTTGGCAAATACATTACACAGTCCAATACAGTACTCTGCAGAGAGATAGTTCCAAAATAGCTAGCTCAGGTGTGCAGTATAGGCTTCATGGAATAAGTAATGGGAGAAGAAAAGAGCAGAGTGTCCTGGCTAGACAACTTCCAGAGCTAATCTCCATTGTCCCTTCTTGGTATCCTAGTGGATGGGCCATAGCCCCTGGTCACAGTGCACATGTGGCTTGCACTTTTGAGTATTTTGACTTGTATGCCACATGGGCTGACCCAGTGAGAAGCAGGGTTTAGTAACAGACAAAATGGTCCGTGCTAATGTGGCTTTACTTTACTGCCTCTGAAACTGAAGGTGACTATCTCAACACAGGTATTAAATTGTGCCTGTGCACATACCCTCTATCTAGGATAGTAATGAACTTCTATATTTTTTCTTGTTATTTTTGGAGGAATTGTTACTGGAGGGAGCAATACAGTCTGCAGCTATAGCTGTTATGGTTGCTTTTATGTCATCAGTTTTGCAAAGCAAGCAATGAATTTACAACAATAATATTCTGACTGTATGTTTATTGAGAAATTTTAATTTGTTTTATTGTGTTATAGAGGCTGTTTTTCTTTCATTTTCATTTATCTACAGTGATTTTTTTTTCTGGAGGCAATTATCTTGGTTTGCTCTAAATGTTGGATGATTATATATGGTATCTAGGTCTTTCTTTAGCATGGAACATTGTTTTGTGTTTGCTTGTTAAAAATACACCCATTTATTGTGGAAAAAATAACTGCATAATGATGGTTTTATCTCTTTTCACAGAATATAGATTTATGTAACAAAGAACATGGAAATTTCACAGCTTCTGTTCACAAAATGAAACATGAGAATTTAAGACTAGAAAATAGTGTTGCTAAACTACAAAATGATAGAGAAATATCAATGCTGGGTTGCACAGATACATATGGAGAAACAGAACACAGCTACCAAACCCATTCAAAGATGCAAGAAAAGGAAGAGAGGTAATAATTAGATTGTACACATATATCAAACTTCCTGTAAGTGTTTTGGAAGCATCTATCTGGGTAAAATTGTTTTTTCTGTTTCTGTTCGTTCAGAACTCCCACCAACATAAATATCAGACCTAGTTAGTATATTTGTAAGCAGTTCCTACATTTTTCTGGGTGGCTGATGGAATTTGGCAATAAATGAAGTTCAGAAATGTTTTATCCCTATTTTAGTATTTAGCACATGAAACAACTTTAAAAACTTTTCATGTGCTGCTCAAGTTATCCCAAGTTCCAGGTTTTGCAAAACAGGACAGACTGTATTTTTACTGACCAAAAAAAAAAAGACAAGGAAAGGATAAAAAAACCAACATGAGAGGTACACTGCTCCATGGGAGGTTATCTTAATAAGCAGTTTGAACTACAACCCCTGCTGAAAAGGTTTGTGTCCCTCCAGTTTAATTTGTTGGAAGTTTCATTAAATGTATTTTAATGCCTTGTCTGGTTTTGGTGTTCTGGGGTGACCTGATTTTTAAAAGAAACATAATTTCAGATGCCCTGAGTAAGTCATTACTACAATAAACTCCTTGTTAGGGAAAAATAATGAGACTTAATAATACTCAGACTCATAGAAAACATTGTAGTGATGACTTTCTTCTTATTTCCCTGTATTCAGTGAGGCACTGAATTACCTTCATGGCATTGCAGGAAAAAAAAAAGAAAACAAAGTCCCTGCTAAGCAATATTTCACAGTACAGGAAAGTAAAAATTAATAGGAAGCTAAATGTTTTGATCACTTGTAATAAAGAACTTACATGATAGCACTAATATAAAATAGTTCTGTGAAGCAAAGTTGAAATAGTTGGAGCCAAAATGGTACATTTTAAGATTTCAAACTCCTACATATAGTTTTTGGTAAAATATAAAATGATTTTCTTTCTGCAAAATAGAGTGCCATCACAATATATTTTTGCCTAGAAGTTCCTTTTCAAGAAGGTTGTTTAGTGTTGGACATAGTATTCATGTTTATATAAATAAATAGATATATTATATGTATGTGTATATATGCATATACATAATGTGCATATATATATACATAAACAGAAGTGGCAGTTATGGCTGTTTTCCTATGAAGTTTCAAATGATGTTGAAGGTTTTGCAGAAACAAATATTTACAAACCAAGGTACAGAGTATTCTGCATCTGTAAGTCTCCTAACTTCACTAAAATTGGTCAGTGCAATTTTTGCTCATGCTTCCACTCTTCTCAAGTGAGAAAAACCAGAATTTTTCCCATTTTCTCAGAATTTACAATTGTACATAAGGGACTGTGGAATTTCATTTATGAGAATGTACATGTATGAGACAATAGAACTATGCATGTAATTTGCAAGATTTTGATTTCATAGCCATTGAAGACCAATGTTGAACCAAAACTGGGAGAGTTAACCTTTCCCATAGCAGAAATCTTAGCCACACTACAGAATACAATATAAATTATAATTGATACAATGAAACAGATATATTGAGCCTAGTTTTCAGGATCTAAGCCACACATTAGAATTCCTAAATTAAAAGCTCTCTAGATAAATAAATACATACACAGATTTCAAAAAATGTGCAAATTTCATATGTACTGTATATGCACATCAGCCAGCCAGTCTTTTTAAGATTGGGCCCTCTCTAAACTATCAGTTCTCAGTTCCCAGACAGGGTACTACCTCAAGATTTTCCCAGAAAACTAAAATTAAATTTTCAATCATCAAATGTATGCAGACAAACCAGGGAATTGATGTTGGTTGAGTTAAAATCTGGGGTATGTTTATTTTATTGTGAGCATAAACCCTGTTATTTCTGGTTTAATTTGCAGTTCTGTTTCCATGGTAATTATGGCACTGGAGAAAGGGCACAAAAACTTTTTTTACATAGTAAAAAAATAGAAAACATGGTGTTTGTGCAAGGGAGGGATATATATATATATTCTGCAGTATTTTTCAGTCATATCTCTCAATCAGTACTGGAATCCTGGGTATGGGCACCACGATGACTTAGAAACGAGACCTCTAAAGAAAACATAGGAAGTTCCAGGAAGTTATGTTGGCAATTTAAAAAGCAATATGATTTCTTCTTTCTTTTGGTGTACAATGAATTTCTAAACATTACAAAGTAAGATATGCAGGAATAGCTAAAAAAGGACTGTGCCCACATTCTACCTGTAACCACCTCAATTAAATACTGTTCTCTTATATGATAATTGCATTACTTCTAATTGCCATTTACATAAGCTTTCCCCAACCTCAAGATTTCAATCCTTTATTTAGACCTTGGCCACATACAGTTGATTTATATTTTGGCATGGTCGAAGAGGACTTTCTCTGATGAAGCTGATGTGTTTAGTTTGTTTCTTCCAAAATTAAAACATGCATGTGAGTTCCCAAATGAAAAGCTACCTATTTACCATAAAAATATGAACAAAATACGTAATGGGTCAAGCCAGAGTGCACTTTCATCATATGGCAAAAGTGAAGGGTAAAGGTAAGAACTGAATGGCTGCTAAGGTAGCTGGGGATTGCTTAAATGATGTGTGTTGACAGTGGAGTATCTGTGCTAAGGAGGTTTTCACCACCCTTTGGAGGTCACACACTCTTAGTCACACTCACCACTGTATCAGTTATTGCAATAGATGAAGTGGAAGCAGTGAAAACAATCTCTTCATGAAAATACTTTTTATCCATTTTAAAAATGTACCTAGCAGGTAGACTTGCAAGGTTGAAGCATCAACACAAATTCTTGAAGACATTCTGGTCATTAAAGATCTGTTGTCTTCTTTCTCAAGACTAGTTATGTCAACCAGCACAGGCTGTGCAAGGAATTTGTTTTGAAGTCATTGACCACATAGGGACCAGGCTGATTTTATATATGAGTCTGGAAAGATGATGCCTGTTTATATAAATTCCCTTTGTCAGGACATAATTCTTTCGCTTCTTGTCCCATATGTCACCATGTCAACAATGATATTATTTTTGTGCATTATGTGTACATGTTAAATACCCTATGAAGTAATCCCACTGAAAACATGAATTACTCAACTGCAGTTATAGTGTATTTGCATTGCTAGTCTTAACAAGCGGACAGTTTTTTAAAAATTTGCAGATATTTGCCTACTTGTACATTTGTGTAGTAGATTTCTGGTCTTAGATATTATTTTGCACTGAACTGATAGAAATTTAAACCCCAGCTGTAAACACTGTCCGAAGTAAAGGTATAGTATTCATATCAAAGTACCTCAGGGTAGGTGTCACGATTTTCAAAAATACCAAGCAGTCCCAGGGTGGATTACAGTAGGAAGTGGAGTTCATTTAAAAAATCAGTCCTTTATTTTTGGGACAGGGGAGGGGGGGCGCAAGGGAGCAGTATCTGTTCTATGAGCTACCATAACTGCAGGCACTCCAGTCTGAAAATTCTGGTCTTAATGAAGTAAGCTATAAGACAGCAGCAATAATTGTTATTAAACACATAGAGAAGCAGTTCTGAAGGGAAAAAAAAGAACACGGATCATACAGATTTCATATGTATATAAATTTAGAGAGAAAATTACCTCCAAAAAGGTCAGAACACAAGATGAAAAAAAAAAATCCATGATTTTATTATTCATGCCATTTATCTTCAGTTGTGGCAGGTTTTCACTGTGCCCTTCATCCAAACAATATCTGGAATGTACTTTAAAATAGGGAGGGGAAAAAAAAGCAGAAAGGTATTTTCCTGTGCCCAAAGAGTAGAGTGTGTTTATGTAAAGAGAACGTGAAGGAAAGGAGAAAAGTCTGCCTCCATAAAGGTAAACATTTTAGGTGATTTAGAAAACTGGAAGATGTGGTGAATAGTCTCAGAGAGTTTTATGTTAGAATGTTTAATATTATTATTATAGTAATAACAAAATTATAGTAATATAATTAATATAGTTTTGTGCTTATAATTTTGGTTTCTTATAGCATTCAGAGTATCTTAATCACTGCTTCTTTTATAATCAGAGAAAAAATATGTTCTTCATTAGTTCTCTGAGTTGTTCTACACAGTCCATTTATTGAATACTCAGTTTCATCCTTCAGGGCTGTCCGGGTTTAACCTGGTGGGCAGGTAAACACCACACAGTCGCTCACTCCCCCACTACCAGGGAAAGAACTGGGATAAAATAAAGTAAAATTTGTGTGTTGAAACACAGTTTAATAGGACAGAAAAGGAGGAGAAAATAACAGTAATAATAATAATAATGATATAAGAATCAGAACATACAAAACAAGTGATGCATGGTGCCACTGCTCACTACCCACCAACTGATGCCTAGCCAACCTTCTCCCAGCTTTTTATTGCTGATCATGACACCATATGTTCTGGAATATCTCTATGGTCAGCTGTCCTGGGTGAGTCCCTTCCCAACTCCTTGTGCACCCCCCAGACTCCCTGCTGGTGGGGTGGAGCAAGGAGCAGAAAAGGCCTTGACTCTGTGAGAGCACTGCTCAGCAGTAATGAAAACACTGTTTTCAGCACAAATCCAAAACACAGCCCCATACCAGCTACTGTGAAGAAAATTAACTCTACCCCAGCCAAAACCAGCAAAGGGCTTATATACGAGCAGGTCCATTAAGGCTGCACAGCCACCCTCTCCCAACACCAAATAATTTAAATTAAGATTAGAAAATGATGTTGTGATTTTTCTGCAGAAAACAGTCTTTTCCCTGCACTTGGCAAGTTCTTGTTTTTATTTAAAAAGAAAAAAAAGTATGCAGTACTGCATACTTTTGAATATTTATAATAATTATATTTTAGTGGCAGAGAATGTGCTCTTTAAAAGTTTTTATAGCTGCATTTCAAATTACTGAAGTGTTTTAGGATATTTGCAATGATAGGATCTGCTCGAGCAGCTATCATCTTTTAGTGGTTACCTCCCAAGATTAAAATTTCATCATAAGCACAGGCCTCAGTACAATGGAAATTTTTACCTCAGTCAGAAATATTGTGACAGAAATTTATAATACGTGAAATAAATTTTTTGCATGTTTTGATATATAATAAAAGTAATTATGCCATTGATAATTAGTGCAATTCAGCAGACATTTGACCAAGCTAGACTCAAAATTCTTCTTTGATCAATACTGTATCAGAATTGTTCAGTTAACTATCAGGAAGAAAATATTTTGAATGGGAAGAAAATAGCTGTCTTTTTTTTTTCTAAGTTGCTGTTATCTGTAACAATTTTTGCTTTACAGAACTGCAAATGAATACAAATGTATACATCATATATATACATATGAATACATATATATACCTCATATAATACATCAATTCTGATCATTCTGATCATTCTAAGTGGGATACAAGAGTTACAGAACATCATAAAATACTTAAAAACTCTTTCTTAAGCTTGAAGATTTCACTTATAGCTACAAAAGCATGTTCTTGTACAATTTTTTAGAAAGTTCATTTTAAAAATCTATTTAATTTTTTTATATTAATCTCCAAAGTGTTGTCATTAAATTAGTGGCAAAATTAGCATTGCAATAAAAATGCAGGATCAAATATTCTTGTAATACGTTTTATTTATTTATTCTAAATTCTAGCTAGTTGTTGAAGGTGACATTAGATAAAAATTTACTAATCATTCAACCACTGATAACAGTTTTTGTCTCTCATCTCACACTTTCATATTTCATTTCCTCTATTTGTTGGCTAAATTCACTGTAGTTCCTATCATACTATAAGCTAGGACATGGCTGAGGAGTGTTTCCATAGTTTGTTCTACTGAAAAGCTAAAGAAATTATAACCTTTAGCAAAGGATAGGTAATAAACACTTAAGGAGTATTGGCATCTTCAATACCTGAAATGAGTTTGTATTTTAGCTCTTGTCCTGACACAGTTATACCAGCCAAGGCAAGGTTCCTCAATTTATGCTCCAGTGAAAGGGTTTAAATTAGGGTGATTTAAGTCACAGCTGAAGCAGATAGAGAATGCACACCCTGGCATTTATGGTAACTTAGGTTGAAAGTTGCTAAATTCCTGCAACTTGGTAATGCCCACAACTTCATGCATGAAGCAGTTTGAACAGCTAAATAACCAAAACTGTGTAAACAAAGAAAACAAAAACCTTTGGCTTTGCTGTGATAGCTTAATATTTTTAACTGGTTTTCATGCTTTGATTTTTTTTTCTTTTAGATCATTCCAAAATAAAGATGCAGGGGAAATGGAATGTCAACAGACTGATATGCTTACTGCCAGTGGACACCACAGAAACCGTAGTCCTGCTTTATATGGCCAAGGCAATATCACTGGGTCAAAAAGTGATAGCATTTTATCTTCTCATCCACTTCACAGAGGTCATGAAAAGAAAATAGTTTATAAATCTCCATCACCACTAGTGGGGTATCCTTTGAGCTTTGGTGGGCCATATCCTAAAATGGGCAGAACAGGCAGTTTACTGAGCCCTGCTTACAGTGGAGAAGAAATGAAATTATCAGAAGAAATCAAACTTACAGTAAGTAACTGTTTAACACATACATTCTCAAAAATCCATCTGTGGACCAAGTGCAGCCTTGGAGGAGCCAAAAATTAGATCACTCTTGTTATTATTTATACAGTGCCAGCCCAGCAAAAATGGAAATATCTTACCCTAATAGAAATGTAGTTTTTCTGGAGATTAAACTACTGTGCCATACCTCTGTTCTAATAAGGATGGAGATAATTACCTGCCATTATGTGACTGTGAGAAAGATTTCTAAATTTTAGCTTATTGGCTTCTATATTGGGGCACTTTGCATCATATTGCCTGTGTAAGAGCACTCTGCTCTAAGTGTATTTCCATAATACCTGCAAAGTTACTGCTTTTAAGTGCTGTTAGACAAGTCAAGTTTCTACAGCATCTGATTGATGGATGAAATCAGAGGAATCACAGCAACTATTTTCTATATGTTAGCTATTTTATCTGAAAAGGAACAGAAATTATAACTGCTGTAATCCTTACTTTTCTTAAAATGAAAGAGAAATAGCACAGCATTCATTCTTTTAGTCTTCATAGGCTGGAAATGGTCAATCTCCATGACAAGTGGCACAAATTACACTTTGCCTAGGACAACTTAAAAAAAACTTTCTGTAATTCTTTGGCTTTAGATCTCTCTTTAAATTTGAGTTTTATCCTCTTCTTTAGTATCTGCTATTCTTCCTTAGGCCTCCACTACAGGCCACTATTTTTTTGCACTTGAAAACTTAGCACTTATTTTCCTGACCTCAAACCACGGAACTCTACCATCATTAAGTATTGGAACTAACAAGGTAAGGAATGAACTGTCAACATCCTTCTGCCCAGCTGTGATACATGGATCTTTGTAACCAGGAGATCCTCAGCTGCAGGGCTGTGGCTGAACTTGCAGAAGAGGGAAGACTTCAGCATTTACTAGGGGGAACTTACAGGCAATTTTCTTGCCACTTGTCACCTTAAGTAGGAGCAAAGAGGCATCATGACACCAACAGTCATCTTCAAGCAGTCTGTTGCTGTTGTATCCCAGTTCTGCTGTCCACTTTGGAAGCAAACACACATTCTTTCCTATCAGAGACAAGGCTGCTGGAAGACTATTTCCACATTCTGGAATCTCACTGTTGATAGGAAACTTCATAATAATGGCCTGCCTAGGAAGCAGGGATTGCAGTGCAGCCCTTCACTGACTGTGGTCCCATCATCTGTGTCCCACTAGCCTGAGAACAGTGAAAACCGCGTAGTCCTGGGTGTTTGACCGCACTTCCAGTTTTATATTCTTATTTTTCACAGGAATTTTAAGTAAATGGTTTTTGGTTTCTCATGGCTTGAGAGTTTTCCTCTTTAAAGTGCTAATCATGAAAAGAGTTGTTTGGACTTTTTCAGAAGAGTCTGCCAAACACCAGTTCTTTTCTGTCAGAAGTTTCAGAGACATGAGACCCCTAAGCTTCTGTTTTCAGCCAGCCTGGGAAAAATGTCCATTCTGAGACACTTTTGCAGTGAAACTATTTCCCAGCTGGCACTCAGGACAGGGTCAATGCTAAGACAATTGACTAGGTTATAGGGAAAACACTTTCCAGTTGGTGTGTGGGCAAAGTATGTAACAAAACTATTAAGCAAGGGATATTTCCTGTACAGAGACTAAGTCTAAATCAGTGGCACTGAAGCAAGTACAGGTTCAGACCACTGAAATCAAATCATCATTCAGGTTGACATTGAATACCACAGCTTTAGTACTGAAATTATTCAACAGTATGTTACTCTAGAGTTCTGTGTTCAAATGGAAAGCTGTTGCATCAAGGAGAAAGAGGGGGAAAAAGATACAGTATGTTGCAAACCAGAGTTCTTTGACAGAGTTTTCTGGACTTGTGGGGAAAAGGACACAGGGACAGGACCCAAGTGAAATCTCCAGTATATTCAAAACTTCTGAAAGTGTTATAAGGCAGTATTTTTCTGAAGAATATTTGTAGCAGAAATTGAAAACATCAGATTTCCAGGTGATGTCCTGATACATACCAAAATTACTCTTGCAGTATTGAGGGAAGAGAAAAAATGGTCTCTTGGGCTTTAGACAAAGACTTACATCTCTCCTCCTGGTAGAGAGTCTTCAGACAAATAGTAAGTGTTCCACTGGAACCTCTGCCCTTTCACATACTTACTTAGAGGTTACATGTGTAGAGTAATTCTTGCCTTAGAATAAACTAGGAAGCTCAGCTGGGAGTCACTGGAAATAACCCCAAAAATTCTTGTTTCAGGGCTTTCCAAATCTAGGGAAATACTTTTTCTCTGAACAGCACTTTGGGCTGTGCTCTCTTTCTGAAATGAACAATTTCAGAAAATGATTGCCTCATCTTTTAGTCACAAATACCTTCTCATGTTTCTTTTCAGATGCTGGACAGATGTTTTTTCTTGCTTTCAAGGCTTGGAAATAAAAGAAAGACTTGAGCTGGAGCAATGAAAATTTAAATTAGGCATTAGGAAACTTTCTAGCATTATTATGGGAACTTGCTTAATAAACAGATTGCAATGGAAAGTTGTCGAAATTCTACCACTGGACATTATTAGGAATCATTTTGACAGTTGTGATCCTACCATGAGGCATGCTGTCATCCATGCCTCTCACTCTTAGGTATTATTTTTACCTTGCTGATTAGTTACTTAGGCCCTCCAGAAGTCTTCCTATGTCACTCAGCAATTTCCTAACCATCTCAAAGTTGATTATCATATATGAGCAGAAGCATGATTAAGACAGACATCTGTACCTGCTGCTTAAGATGTATTGCAGTGTAAGGTTAGAGGAAATTACTCCCAAAACACTGGGGTTTGACCATTCATGATTTGAACACCAAATGCTAAAATATCCCAAGTGTTAAAACTTTCTTGCTGCCCTACTGAAGGTGCATCCAAGAATGCTGGGACAACCATGGGGCAAATGAGAAATTAACTCTAGGCAAATTAATTAGGCAGTTTTTGAGAGAGAACATCCCTTCCTGAAGGGCTTCTCCCTAGCAATTCAGAGTTAATGCATAACCACTTTGGGTAGTCCTTATTTAAAGAGAAGACATATTTTATATGTAGAAATATGCATCTCTATCAGGTGCACTTCTTCATTTCCAGAAAATAATGAGGCAAAAAGGTGGTTCTCATTACTGATATATACCAAAGAAATATGAGATCAGCTGCAGCGTGGAAAATGAAAAAGTAGAGTCCTTGTTGCCTAATTACCCAAACAAGTTAGATGGAAAGCTTACAATGAACCCATTTCTATCCAGATCCTGTTAGGAAACCAAAAAACATAAAAGAAACGATATCTGAGGAAAAGAAATTCAAAACTAGGGACCATGAATCTCATCTGAGACATGGATTAAAGCAGCTTCTTTATGGTTTTTCTTCCTCAGATGCCAAAAATGAAGACAATAAAGAACATAATGAAAGAACAGACCAGAGGCTTGGAAAGCAAAGCGTAGTTGCTAACAAGGAATGTTGCCTTTTAGACCTGTTTAGATAAAACCTTCTCTCAAAGTGCATGAAAAACAGTGCATTAGGGACCCATCTAAAATCATAGTCTGTGATGTCTGACCCTCAGTGGGGAGCCATGACCTGCTTATTCTAAGTGATAAACATTCTTTTCTCAACTGTGAGGGAATTCAGAAATGTCTCATTTGGAGTTTACAGTGTATTTCAAGAAGAAACACATCAAAGTAAATACCAGTTGAAGCAAAGGAAGCAGTTTAGGAAGGTAGCTTGATCATGAGGCCAATCTGTTTCCAATGACAAGTCAGTAACTGTAAGCACTGTTATAATGAATCTCTAAGGATCTCTTGTAACTTGATGCAGTGTTTCCAAAGATTAGCACCTGTGTAAATCTCCTGTCCATATGGAAAAGTCCGACATGACTTTTTTTCTCTAGGTGATGACACCTATTAAATTTATATTTTCCCAGTTTCTCATGCTTCTCACTGCAAGTATTTGCTCAGTATTGAATCAGTGATTTCAGAGCTGGTATTCAGTAAGCAAAACACATGGTGATTATTTAAGTAAAGCCTCCAAATCTAATGTCTTCTTCATAATACAAAAGCTTTCTTCAAATAATTTAAAATAGTACTGCCAACTCTATCAGTGAGTCCTAACATCGAAAGGAGATGTATTTGTGATCCTCATGGAGGAATACATGTGCATATGGCCATGGCATTCAGAATCTCAGAAAAAACTCTTCATGTGAAAACACTGATAATTTATGGGTGGGAAATCATGCATGGGTTTATAAAGAAAACCAGGTGATGTCCCTCCAGTTTCTTAAACTTTAGAAAACTGACATTCTTTCTTATTCCTGCTAGTGCATGGATTGATAGAGGACTGTTGTGGCACACAGTGATCCAATACCTTTGAGTTTCTTACTTGTACATGGCAAATTTTTCTCCCCCATCCTTGTAAAACACTAATTTGGAGGGACTGAGAAAAGGAAGATTCTGCTTTATCTGTGAATTTCATTTTAGGAGGCCTATACATCAGGAAGCCTGTCTCATTCTAGAAGGATGGTATTAAATTCAGAATTCATTTCCAGCTATCACTTACTTCCTGTGCTTCAAAAAGAAAAGGGCTTTCCTATAGGAAATCTCTAAATTTCATCTCATAGTCTCCTGCAAAGAGTTTGAATAGAATGGTGCTTTAAAGCATTTCTTTACCTAGCATCTTTTGGACTTACAAGCTGCTGAAGGGCAGTTTTCAACGAAATTGAAAACAAAACCCAAATTTGTCTCTAGTTGCTGTGGAAATACAGAATATCCCACTTTGATACAACGGAGCCTAGAGTAAAAGCTTACAGGTATAATAAAATTGACCTTTAGCACAGAACATTTGAATAGTTGAATTCTTATTTGATGTGGTGAGATATTAACTCTCCTAAATTCTAGAAAAAGCAAACCCCAAAATTCCAGACTAATAACTCAATCAGTAACTAAAACTATTAAGATATGGTTTAATTAAAATTAAAAATGCCAATTATTTTTCTCAATATATGACCATATAAAGATAGAAAATAATCTTTCTTTTAATATTACAGCTACTATACTAAGTTTTCTTCTTAGTCAAATATTAAAAATTCATGTCATAAAATTGTATTTATCTATACAAATAAGCATTGAATGAATTTAAACAAGCATAGTATCTTTAGGCAAAGAAAAACTATCTCATATTTCTTTTGATAAAGACATTCCAATGAATGCATCTTAAGCAGTAGCAAAAGAATTAACAAAAATTGCTGCTTAAAAATTTAGAACTTGTTCCAGCAAAGACTCACTCAATGTCCTTTGCTTCTTACAACTCCACATCCCATGACAACCATTTTAAGGCTGATTTTTGGTATGGTTTATGTCTAAGGCTACTAAATGCTCATTAAATAGAAAGAAGATTTTTCAGCTGAATTACTTGCAGCGAATAAAATTTAGTACATTCTCCAGAATGTCAGGGCTTGGAGTTAATAGTACTGAAATGAGCATAGGTTTTCTTCCTTTCCTCAGAAAGCATCACATCACAGAAGCAGAGCTAAAATTCCAGGAGGCAATCAACAGTATCCAACACTAATTATATTTTGTAATTCCAAAAAAGGTTATTGTCCTCTGCATTGGTCTACATTATACAAATAACTAACATAACCTGTAGCTGATCCAAAGAATTCAGAGGTTCTGCAGCAGCACAATTCTGTCTAATGGAATATTTAAATTTTTAATCCTAAATCTACATTCTAATGCTGTGAATATCAGAGATAATCAAACATCATGTTCACTTGATGTCATTTAGGCACATGGATGCCTTTAAAAATTTATGCCCGATTTCATGTTTTCTTGGTGAGGTATAAAGTGTTATGGCGTTACTAGCTGCTATAGGTCAAGATGTTTTTCACATCTAGAATTTGATAATGAAAACATGTTGTAGTACTTGCTGGCTTTCACTAACCATGATTTTCTATTCCTTGCTCAGTCTCCCCATGAGATGTCCTTCCTTGCAACAACAGAAAAGTTCCTTCAAGAGGAAGATAAACATGCAAGAGAGTTTGAAGAACGTTTAAATTTGCACCTTGAAGAGCTGCAAAGATATTCTGAAAATATTCTAAAAAAACATGCCAGGATACAGCAAAGCAGACATACTTAAGCCAGTCACACAATTAAGAAAAGAAAACCAAGTAATGATGCATGAGTTTCTTAAAACTAAAATCTGCAACTAGTTGCTTAATGTATTTAGGCACATTGCCAATAGCATTTATTTTTAGTACCATGTTTTCAATAAGATCATCATTATCCTATGGATTTAAGTACATTGTAACTTGACTATATTACAAAATAAACTCCAAACATATTCTAAAATATACAGGCTGGTTTTGCACAGTCAAATTGTGTGCAGCAGAGACCCTGTTGCAGCTCTGTAAAATAAGTAAGATATTAAAATTCTGTAGTTTACAGGGGGCTAATAAGTGGAATTGTTCCCTTGAAATTGGAATCAGCCAAGAGAAATTCTCTAGATTGTAGAGAAGACTAATAAGGGCCTTTAGCCACGTTATAGCTCGTGGCATAAAGAGCTTATCTATGCTCTGGTTATTCTTGGCTGTGGAAGTAGCCCTTGGGACTCTGGAAATGAGAAATTCGACCTCTTTCTTTCTTACACTCTAAGCCATGTCAGTCCATGAGGGGAACATAAATAGACGAAGTATATATTTTAAAGACACCCCTACTGCCCCTTTTACCAGACCTATAGACTTCACCTGGGGCAGAGCCTGATCTTTACATTAACATTTTATAATTTTTAAATCCTGTATTCAAAAGCATCTCTTTGGGTATTGATGTTTTGGCTCCTTGTTTAACTACATTGGAACAGGACAAAAAAACTTTAACTTCAGACGACTTGTGATCTGTCTTAGGTAAGGGCTTAAATTCTTTACATTTTTCTACAACATAGGAAGAGTTATATAACTGAGCAGAGCTAATTCAACTCCATGTGCTGAAAAAATGCAAAATGTTGAGATTCCTTTTATTTGCAATTCATACTGAATTCTATTGCTGTGCAAGCGAAACAGAAATTACAGACACTGTTGATGAACCACCAATTTTAGTGAATGAGATACTGAAGAACTGCTCTCTAGCATATACTGTTGCCAACTTCCTGGGAAAATCTGGATAAAAATAATACCAGGCTGTCAAACTGCTCCAGTTTGTGAGTAAAAGAAGCCTCATTAATATTCAAGACCATGGCTAAAATGTAAATTCTTTTTCGATGCGATATTTCCATTAAGACAAAATACACTACATCACCCTTACACAAAATACCAAGATTTTAAATACCAGTTTGGCTCAGCTTGCAGTAAAATGAGTAATGAAGAAGAGGACATCAAAGAACCTTTTACAGGAAAATTCAGGAAAATTACTAGACTCAGCTGGAGGAACAAGGACTGAATAAAAAGATGACGGAAGGACATCTGAACAAACTAAATATGTATGCATCTCAACTTAAAGGGAGATGCATCTGGGAGTTGTAAAAGAACTAGTGAAGAAATTCAGGAACCTCTGAAAATGAAACTCAATTTTAAGCCAGGCAAGATCTGTAGAAGCGAAAAGACAGTAAAATATTGTCTTTCAGAAGTGCAAGAGAAATAAATTAACCAGTTAGCCATTTAAACACACAAGACAACAGTATGCTCCATGTCTTCGAAGAACTGTATGTTTCTGAGTCCAGTCCAGGCATGAGGGTACCTCTCAAGGTATCTCACAGACTTCTCAAGGTCTGTGTGATGATACAGAGTGAGTGAATGAAATTATCAAAAAATGAATAAGATTTTTTTTTTCTAAAGTTTTTTAAGATCTGGCCAAGCTACTAATTTTGGCTAATGAAACAATAGAGTTAATTTCAGCCTGGTTTTTGTGCAATGCCATATAATAAAGTCCCTGTAAAAAGCACTGAAAACTGCAAAGTACCTGTAGCTTAACAGCCTACTTGTTATTAGTGCCTGCTCAGAGTGTATTATGCCACAAATGTGCTTAGACAGTATGGATCAAAGTGCCATTTTTTTAACACCTACCTACCAGAAAGGTCACCCTTCTCTTCCTCAGCCAAACAGCATAAGTTGCTCATCTGACAATCCCCAATTTAAATGAGCCCTTTGCTGCCACAGTATGGTTGGAGCCACACCACTGGTTTGAATACCTTAGTTGTATTAAAAGGTAGAAGCTTGACTGAGCTGATAAGAGGTTTCTGAAAGAAGAGATATGTTCCTGATATTATCATGGCAAAAAAACTTTTTAAAGAATGATGGACAGCAAAAATAATAAAGACTGAGAAATTATACACCTTATAAACAGGGGTTGGGCATGTATGTATATTGTCATAAAAAGGAATAATCAGAAGGGTCCAAGGCTATAAATGTCTGAAAGCACCAATAAAAATGAAAAAAAAATAAATTATTAATCATTAAGTTCATTTGACAGGACAAGGCACAATGTTCAGGAGCTATGGATTGCCCAAAACATATAGACAATTTCTATTCTACTTTGTGAATAGCCAGGCAATGGAAAATTTTTGTAAGCTGCTGGACTTTGATGATTTTTCAAAGCTTTACTGAAAAGCATTTTTTTGGCTCCCAGTTGAAAGACTTGTTTTAAATACAAAGAACAATGGTTCAGGCTGCCACCAGCTTTTGCTGAAGGAAAAACCGAGGTCATGTGCACGCAATTGCCAACATGTTTCATCAAGATGTAATTTTGAAATAGTCGGTGGCATAAGAGCTGCCAGAGCATTGCTATCCAATTCACTCCCCAAAACCTACTCTGAGAGGCCTGAAATGACAGTAACTGAACAGAATAATTTAAAAGGGCCTCACATGAAAGTTGGGTATTTAATGCATTTTCTTCCATGTCTTACTCTCTTATCTATGGGAAATTTAGGAGTGTAAGAATGGGAGCGTGTCAGGTGGTGCGTACTCTGAGCCACGCAGAGAGGAATACAAACTGCAGCAGCAAAACACAAATGCCAAATGAACACAAAAATGAACGAGCACAGGCACAGCTTTCTTGCTTTTCCAATGGGTAGACTTAAACAATGACTTAGCTTACCCAGTCAAAAGGCTAATAAATCTCTGCTGTGATCAGAGATACCACAGAAAGTGCCTGACCCCCCCAGTCTCACTGTTCTGGTTTTATTGTACTGGAATGGCTTATAATTCCTGATTAAACGGTGGTACAACAGTGCCTAGAATCAAGCCCACCAGCAATTAATAATTCAAAGCTAGACTAACACCAGCAGTGAGAATGAGATGGAACCCATCAACAAAGACTGCCTAATGAGGTGAGCCTCAGGTGACTTTACAGCTGTGGTGTATCATGCCAGTCATCAAAGCTTGGATTACACAGCCAGCTCAGGTATGCACTGAACTCCATTCAGTCCTGCTGCTTTCTGCTCCTGGGTCTCCCAGAGACTCAACAGCTGGGAGAAGGCAGAGGGCACTGGCAGAAGGTCCTTAGCCTGTATCATGGGATTACATTCTTGTCTGGCTTTACAACCTGTGAGAGCCAATTATAGCATTCATAAGCACATTCCATTCAGAATAGCTATGCACTAAATTTTACACTAACTGCCTTGTGCTAGGGAAGTGTTTTGGTTTTTTTTCTCAGATACAGCAGTCTGCTGAGACAATGCTAGGCTAAGGATTGTTCAAAGCAGAGTTCGTTGGAACTGGCCAAACCAATGTGGGAACTGTGTATTGTTTTTTCCTCACTGTAGGGATCAGATCTCAAAGTTCACTATGTTGGAGTTTCTATTTAATCACACAGACACCCTCAAATCCATAAATAGGCTGTAATTTAATGTAGTGCATATAAATTTCTGCTAGTGGGTTGAGCAGTGCCCCCAGACACTGATATGCTGCACTGTAGTGTCCCTTCCTAAATCAACAGACTGATCAGTTTGTTCTTCTAATCTACTCTTAACCAAACTACCGGGGACGTCGAAACAGATTTATCAAGAAAAAATGCCCAGTTACTTTATGAGAACATGTTTGCATGCGAAGAACAGTCCTGAACCATTCTGTCACCAAATTTCCTGCAACAGATGAAGACTTTACTTGATATTAACCCTTGTAAAATTACACATGGAGCAAGAAATCCTACTGAAGTCCTGGTCCTCAGCATCCCATGTAAGCACCATAGCAAGAATTTTTTTGGTTGAAGCTTCACCAAATAAAGGTATTGTGCAGAAGACAACATCATCTAAGAGCTCCATCTGTAGTGATTATGAAGATGCTCAGCTGGGGCATGGATGGCAGGGGTTTGCTTTGCTGGTACATGCATGTGAACTGGAACCACCTGCTCTGGTAAGAAAGTTCTCCTGGTAAGAATCACAGAATATCCTGAGTTGGAAGGGACCCATAGGAATCATCAAAGTCCAACTCCTGGCCCTGTGCAGTACACTCCAAGAATCACACCATGTGCCTGAAAGTATAATCCAAATGCTTCTTGAACTCTGTCAGGCTGTGACCACTGCCCTGGGGAGCCTGTTCCAGTGCCCAACCACCTTCTGGGTGAAGAACCTTTTCCTAATATCCAACCTAAACCTCCCCTGACACAACTTCAGGCCATTCCCTTGGGTCGTGTCACAGGTCACCGCAGAGAAGAAATCAGTATCTGCCCCTCCTCTTCCCCTCACAAGGAAGTTGTAGACTGCAATGAGGTCTCCCCTCATTCTCCTCTTCTTCAGGCTGAGCAGACCAAGTGACCTCAGCCACTCCTCATATGGCTTTCCTCAAGGCCTTTCACCAACTTTGTTGCCCTCCTTTGGATGCTAATAGCTTAATATCTTTCCTATATTGTGATGCCCCAAACTCCACACAATATTCAAGCTGAGGCCACACCAGTGCAGAGCAGAGCAGTACAATCCCCTCCCTCAACCAGCTGGCAATGCTCTGCCTGTTGCCCCCCAGGACATGGTTGGCCCTCCTGGCTGCCAGGGCACTGCTGACTCATATCCAACTTGCCATTGATCAGGACCCCCAGGTCCCTCTCTGCAGCACTGCTCTCCAGCCTCTCATTCCCCAGTCTATACACACATCCAGGGTTGCCCTGTCCCATGTGGAGAATCCAGCACATATGTGCCCTTGTTAAACTTCTTAAGATTGGTGATTGCTCATCTCTCTATTTGTTGAGGTCTCCCTGCAGGGCCTCTCTGCCCTCAAAGGAGTCATCAGCTCCTCCCAACTTAGTGTCATCATCTCTGTAGTGCAGGTCCAAACCAGAGGCAAAGTGCAGGCTCTAGTTCACCTCTTCCAGAGCTACAGGAGTGTTCAAACCTGAACATAAACAGTCTGGAAAAAGAACAGTTCATCTTCTCTGATGTATGCATTTAAACTGAACATTAGGATGTGAATAAGTAAATCTCTCTGAGCTCTTAAAGTACGTGTAGTTCTTCCTTCTGACCACAAGCAGTGCCACTGGCTTCTCTCACTTGGCTTTGGTGAGCTGGGTCCATGTGCAATGCAGATGGGCACTTAGCCATTGCAAGAATGTTTGACACGATTGCTTTGTTTTCTTAGCATTTTGCAGACGTTTATAAAACTCCATTCAAACTTTGATGTTTATGTATTTGACTCGGATTTGATTTATGCTTTGGAAAATTGGGTTTAAAAACCTGCTTCTATAATTTGATTTATCAGAATGCAATGGCAGGTTTTTAATGACTTCACCTGATAATGAGCACTCTTGGAAACCATATCATAAGACACTGCTGAAGAAGTATCTCAGCATGAGTTTTCTGGTAAAATGCTTGTAATAAATCATTCAGTTTTGCCCACAAGCTACTGTATGCTGGGAAAAGGTTTGAAACCCTATTTCTAAAACATTTTTGAAGGCAACTGACAGTTGGAGTAATACATACAGCTAAAAAACCAGAGACACGGTTACACCTTCGGTTGAGAAGCTCACACAAGTTGACATTTGAGCAACTGCCATTAATTTACTTCCCCATTATTACCCAGTGATTTTTGACAGTTTCTGTCTGCAGAGGCTTCATACCTTTTTTACAAATGCACATTCTCACATTCAATACTAGTAAAAAGGAATTTGGTAGAAAATGTTAGAATCCAAGTTCACTGTTTACTAGAAAAAAAATATTTTTTTTAAGAGTCGAACTGTGAAATCAATTCCACCTTCTGCACAAGGAATCATTCAGAATGTGTAACACTACTGTCCTCTCAATTAGCACTCAGTATAATTGCACATCTCAGAGAATTGAAATACTCAATGTCTCTTATTAGCGACAAGCTATAGGTTCATATTAATGGACATTTGGCTCTGAAAAGATTATTATTGTGACCTGAAGAATTTGCAGACTACAAGAGACAGAGGGAATAAGAAAAAGCAGCAGAAATTAAACATCTCATTAGAGAAGTAATCATAAATGTTATCTAACCCAACTGACCTTTTACCCATTTAGTTGTTATCAACCAGTACATCAGTTCATTGCTCGCATGTGTCACAGACTCAACTCTTGCAGAAAATGAAAAGGGGGAAAAATCACATAAGGACTCTGAACAACTTCAGGGGAAGCTCTCCAAATTATAAAATCATTGCTTGGGCTCATAAAAAAGCCCTGCAGGTGGAAGGGACTGAAATAAGCCTACTACTCAGAGATGGGAATGTCACAGGGACTTTGTTAGAGCCATCAGAAAGTATCACAGAACAAGCAGGGACAGGAAAATCTTGGTTAAGGATCTACGAAAGAGGAGGATGAGGAGGAATCTATGGAAGTGATTAGCAGAAACTCTGCTTCCATTCTAGATGCCCAACACACCAAGTACCCCAGGACACATATATGTAAAATACACACACTTTTGTTTGCGTCCTCAGGCACAAATTTTATTCAAGCTGAACAGCTCCACTGAAAAAGGTGCAATCTACCAGAGCTCCATCTCAGCCATCCCTGACTGAGGATAAAATAAAAATAGGACAAGGATTTGGTGCCTGGGAGAACAGAAACAGCTGGGAGATGACACAGACTAAGCAATTACTTTTACAGATGCATCACTCTCCAGTTGAAGGAAGCAGTTCTCAGTGCAAAGCACAGATAATTTCAGTGTCAGTAATGGCTCACTGAGCACACGGGTTCCACGGCAGACTTCCCGCTGGTCACTCGTGGGCACAACACAATGGCCATCCTCTCTGTGTTTGTTGTGCTTATATCCCAAAAACTATGATGCAAGCTGAGCAGGGGAACAATCTAACAATTCATCCAACCTCTTCCTTTTAGCTTTCAGTGAATTTTGAATTTCAAAAACACCTTAGTCTGCAGGGCTAGTTTAATTCTAGACGCTCCTGCCAGCAAGCGTCAGGAGCCGTGGCCATCCCTGTACCATCAGGTATCTCTGTCATTCTGAGTGGAGTTGGTTCACAGCTGGCCACAGGCTCATCCCACTGTGGGAACACGGGCCTTAGGGCAAAGAGCACTACAAGGACCTGCATTTGCTTGCATATATTGGTTTTTTGTACAGTAACTCTGGCTGGCAGCAGCATTATGCACAGCAGTACGCAAGGGTAACACAGGAAGCATAGCCCCCTCTGTCATTGGAACTCTGACCATTCCCATTGACTTTGCTGGGACTATCCTTGTGTCAAAAGACAACATGTGAGGGAAAGAACCGAGAGGTCTTTGACTTTCCACACAGAAATACTTCCTGCCATGCTTCAGTGCACTGTAGCATCAGTTCTTCCTTGCTTGGCCTGTGTTTAAGCAGCAGTGAAGAGTTTTCAAATTCCCTCCCCAAAGTCTTCTGAAGGTTAATGCCTACTGAGTGCCTTAAAAGATTTGGATGAGAAAGAGCTGTAGTAGAACACAGGGTCAGTGAAGCATTTTGATGAGAATGTATAGCTTGATTTACTAGAATAAAACTGCCCAAACTGTACTCACAGATTCCTTCAAATGAGCGGATGGGGCATGTCACAGGACAGCAGCTCACTTCAGCAAAGAGATGAGAGACGAAAGTTACACTCATGTTACTTTTCTTTCCTTATTAAAAGAATAATCAAGAGCTGTATTCAAAGTTGCCTTTTTATTGCCACTTATACAGATTTAAATATTGAACACTCAGATAAACAACTATCTGTATTTATGCAGATTGTTATTAGTTACTTCACAATAACCTGGCAGAATCTCCCTTTCTAAATTCTGTAAGATTCCTTCCAGCAGATCCTGAAGTATTCACTTTGCATGTTGGGATCTCACACCAAAAAGATATTCTTTTTGAGTGAACTATATAGTGGTTAATGAAAAAATTATTACAATACGTAGGCTTTCACAGTAAGTCACATTTTTTGCAAAATAATTTGAAGATTCCAAGTAAGACTTCTCTCTTTTATTCAAAAAATAAATATATCCTTTCTGAATCTAAGCACTTCATATGACATTAAGTACAAAGAAGAAATGTACTTCTTTGGAAGTTCTGAAGTAGACACACAAGAGCTCATGGGAGCAACATTATCCATAACAACAATAAAAGCTGAAAGCTGATTTTTTACAAATTTATAGCAGAACACAATTTCCTTTTACAATATAGAGCTTCAAACAGATTTAAGAAAAACATCATTTTAAAAGTCTGAAAGGCACATGAACTGGGCCATAAAACGTACTGGCATATTCACTAATACGTTTTATGTTACATTCCAAAAGAGAATCCGCAGGACCCTAACCAAGAGAAAGACTGAAAATACCAGCAAGTTCCTTTGTAAAGTACTGAAAGAGTGGCAGAGAGTTCCTTTTGGCTCTTGGTAAAATTATTAATACCCCAAAGCTAGAGAGTCTGAGAAGCTGCATCATTCAGTTGTATTTGGACGAGTCGCTACATAAACAAACACAACAATCAGCAGTACTACAACAGCCAGTGTGGGAAGCACGACGGTGGTGATTTGTTGCCGAGCCTCTTGCATTGCCTGTTTTCTCTCCTTTTTATCTTTGGAGGTCTCTTTTTTGGGTTTTCCTCTTAGCTGCCTCATCCTCCTCTTTGGATCTTCTGCTTGCCAAATGTGGGAGCAAAGGGAGTGGAACAGCAGAAAATAGTCCAAGGTCTTTTGAAACAAGGGGTTGAAGAATTCCTTCTCCTTCAAGTGGTTGGCTGTGCAAGAAACTGCAAGAGAAAGAGAACAATTCACATTCCAGTTATTAAAACCGTTTGCTGTTCCACTTGGTAAATCTTTCATCCAACAGACACTAATGCAGCTTCTTTCAAGGAAAGAGAATCTCAGTGTGCTCACTCAGATCATCCACATAACGCTTTCCCCTTAAAAACTAGAGCAGTTCATCATGGCATATATCTGTCCAAGAGCCCTGAACTTTCACTCTGTTTAGCCAGAAACAAAGCCTGGCACCACACATTTTATCCTCCAAGGCAAACAAGGTAACACACCTGAAGACTTAATGAAAATAATATGAATTAGTCTTGTGTCAACATAGGGTACCAGCTGTCCCTTCCTTCAAAGAGCACCAGGCCCCGGCTCAGGGGCTGCGGCTCCCCACAAACCTGCAGAATGAGGACGGGCAAGCACACATCCTATCTTAAGTGTTTATCACCCACAACATGTATTTATTAGAATAAAGGGTATTCTAACAGGAAGAAATGGGGAGAAAGAACTGCTTAATTTAATACTTCTGGTTCTGCTGCCACAGAACAAAGTCTAAATCGTAACATGACTCAGTGCTGTCATTCTTATTGCAGCTGTCATTGATAGAAGAAGAGCCCAAGTGATAACCAGCCTGCTTACAAATCACTGGTGTAGACAAGCAGTCATTAATAAAGGAGAAGGCTGTTGCTCTGAAGCATCTACTAGACAATGTTTAAAAGCAGAAGTATCTATAATGTGAGATTAACAAAAACACGGCATGGTACAGAAGCCTCCAAAATCAGGCTGACTGTGCAGTGAGGGCGGGTGCCAGCCCTTGGTTACACTCCTCTTCACTACATTCCTCGGTTCTGCCGCGGCACAACAGCTGCACACAGGCCACACGTACCTAAACACAAATTTGGACAGTAACGATTACTGGTGTCAAATCCTCAGCTGAACTGAAGTAAATTATGAACTCACGTTTTTCCACCACTCTAACATACTCAGAATAAAATGTATGTAGAAATTAGTGGTTACTGCAACTTCCTCTTCTCTTTCCCTCTTATTTCAAAATATAAAGATGATTTTAATGTGCTGCTGTAGGTGAGGAGCATGTGTCATCAAGCAAAACTGCAAAGCTCTCTCAGTTCACCCCAGACACAACTTCCTCTTGATGTGTCGTCTCTGGTCAATGCTACAAGCTGTCTTGTGACTACTTTTTTTAAAATAACAAGAAGAGGTTTCACTGAAAATGGGATGCTTTCTGTTGGTGTTAGCACTCAACCTGATTTGTCAGCCCAATCACAAAAGCAAAACTGAACTAAAACACTCACATACCAAGCAACAATACTCACCTGTAGGTTATCTGCAGCTACAAAGGAGTTTTCAACCTTGCTCATAACAGCAGCAATTTGCCTGCTGTGAATCTCATTCAGGCAATTAGGTTAGTGAGATACTGCACTATTTAAGGTAAAATGCAGAATAACTCTGCTAAATTGAACTGCTAGAACCAACCAGACTATCTGAGAAACCACGTGGTACTAGAAAACTGATAACAGATCAAACCATCAGTATTTCTGGCTTTAAATGGTCCTTCCTGGATACAATCTAAACAAACAAACAATGAAAACAACGACAAAAAAGCACACCCCCCTCCCCCAAAAAAAAAATATCTCAAGCATGACAAGATATCAGTGTTAGGCCGGATTCATCGATTCCACATCCCCTGCACACACAGACAAGTTGTTTTGTGATCATAAACTTTGCAAATTCAACTTGCACTTGAACACAGACCCTTCATTTCAGTTTTGATAAAGCACAGAAGAGAAATTTTGGTGCTTGGGATATTTTTCAAAAGAGAAAACAGTAAAGTTAAAGTCTTGGAAAGAACTAATTCCTTCTACACGCTGCACCATTAGAATCAAAATATATAACAGTGGTCAATGAACTTTGGGATGGAGAGGTAGACAGGAGTTGGATGGAGAAACTAAACACAACACCCTGTATCAGTCTTTTAATCAAATGGGACTACTTAATTTTTAAACTTTCATAACTTTCTTCCCAGCAAATCATCAACCCTCTTAGTGATTCAGGGCAGAGCTTTTGGTATCCCATGTTCTGCGAACTATGGGTTTCTGGTTTGGTTTTGTTGTTTTATCACTTCTCTAATTAACTCCTGAATTTCCTCTGGGGCAAAAGAAATCTGTTTTACCCCTTCCATTTCCATTCCCTCTCCTCTTGCTCGGGTCACAAGCTTTATTACCAAACTCTAGAAAAACTGCTATGCAAAAAATAAAGTTTTACGTTTGTCCTTTGGGATAATTAGACTACCACAGCATTTCAGGCTGTATTTTGGTATTGTTTTCTGTCTCTACTGTTAGTGTACATCAGTGGGTTTTGTATCCAGACTACTCACAAGACCCAAGAAGTGACAGACAGTAAAAGCCTTTGGGACTTCCTGTGTACCATAGTAACAAACAGGAGTTGCCATGAAACCAATCCCTCTAACAATAAATGTATGCCTTGATCTATGTAGCATCACTTGCTAGCCAGACATTAAAAACATCAGCATGTTTTTTAGTGTCTCTTTTGAATGAATATTTCATTCTGAAGCAAAATTATACCAAGTTAATTACATACACTGGCTAACATCTGACGGCTTAGAACAGAAAGCCTTCCCGCAAATGTCAGCACCACTTGAATTGCAAGCTGATGCTCTCCAGTTTGGGAATCTGGCATCAATCTCCAGATATGTTTCCAGTAGATTGGGTTGCTTGGCTTTGCTACTGGCAAAGAGGGACTCGCATAGAAACTGGCCCACAGTTTTCAGAGCGATAAGCCTTAGGGTTCATCTTAACTCAACCATAAAATGGAAGCGGTGAATCTCTGCAAGTTGCTGCCAGGCTCCTGCTGCCACCAGGCGCCAGGCTGTGACTACCAGGATTGGGCAGTCGCTGCAAGAGACAACACTTCCCCACAGGAAAAGTCCAGGATGCTGTAGAGTCTGCTATGTTCATCTTGGTAGGAAACAGCAGTGGAAAACCAGTGCTCATTGGTATATGAGGAAATTCTACAGCCCATGTTGTACACAAGCACAGTAAGGGTGCCACAGCTATCCCCTTCTGCTGCCAAGCCTCTTGCCAGCCCCCATGGACTTAATTGACTACTAAAAATTATGAAAGGAAAGAAACAGATCCATAAAGCACATCAAGTCAGTGACAGGGACAGGATTACAACATTAGGGTCTTGCTTCCTGTGGTGTGCACAGCCCATGAGAACACTTTATCTGACATTACTGAGATATGTCCTCCTTCAGTCAGCAATCACCCTGCTTGTGCACTGGGAAGGCTGAACTCAAGTGAAGAGAGGAAGGAAATAATATGGCATTGGGATGGATGTAATTAACAGATTCATTAGCACTGCCCATTTAAAACATTTCAGAGCAAGTTGCTATCAAAAGGTCCATGCGAAAGTGATGTCCCATGGGGACTTCAATCCTGTGCAAACTCTAACTCTCAAACAGCTGCAGAAGAACTGGACACTCACCCTTCCTCCTCTAACAGAGCCTGAGAGTCTCCTTTTCATTTCAGTCTCCCCTGAACAGGAGAGGGCTCACTGCTGTAGATTGTACACATCCTTCTAAGGCTCCTTCCCATCTCTATTAACTGCTCAACTGGCCCAAGCATCTGCTGGATGCTTGATCACTAAAGTGGAATCACCAGGCTAGAAAAGATCACCAAACTAGTTCAACTACTGCTTTAACTGGAAAGTCAGCAAATCTCTCAACTGGGACATAAGTAGAACTGCAACAGAAGGGATTAAGAGACTCTAGCAAAAGGGGCATATCTGTAGACCACAACACCATGACAGCAGCCTGGCACTAGCCAGAGACTTTAACCCCACCTTCCTTTTATTAATTTTGCAATTTAAAATTTGACAATAAAATTGCATGGGATGATGAGATTATTTTTAAGGTCACTATAGCAAAGTTTCCCCCAAAAGCAGGAACCTGCTGGCTAGAAATAAACAATCTTGATTGCCAAGTCAAGAAAATGAGTGTTGACTTGGTATAGTTGTTTGAAACACCCATTTCACAGAGCCTACCCCAGCTTCACACTGAAAAACTAAGGTTTAAAGCATAACAAAACATTAAAAAGTTCAAGCTACTGAAGAGAAAACTAAAGACATCATTCTTCAAGATAATAAAAAATCCACAAATTTAGTAGTCTGTCTTGCCTGGTAGAGAAATTACACTCCTCCTTGTACATCATTCACATTGCTTTTTATATACAAAAGTGCTCTTCATTCTGTCTTCTGGGTTAAGTTACTCTAAACTGTTTTTGCAGAGCTAATATCAAAACCCAAAAGCATGAATCAGTTGGACTCACTGAATCAATCATACCAATGTTGAAGCGTTTACCAGCATCTTAGAGCAAATCAGCTGTGGCTAAGCAGGGATAATTGTGTACTAGAAGGCTGTAGTGGAACCTGTAGTATCCTTCAACAAGTGGAACTTGTAACCTTCAAAACACGTCAACAATCTTCCAATCAGAATTTATGGCAGTGTGTCATCTCCTTTTTTTAGTAAAATTAACTCTGACCCTTAGTAATCTGCAATTAAAGGCTCCTCACACCACACATGGCTATTCCTGTGAGCCTCGAAAGGCTACACCAGCACTCGTGGAATACTGCAAACCTGGAGATCATTGTAAATGCAACACACGCACAAAAGGTTTTGTTTACCTGCACTTGGTGTAACTGCACATCTCAAAATGTCTAAAGAACTTACTATCACCAACCTTACAGTATGAACATATTAGCCATGTGTTTTAAACTGACTAGTTTTTCCCCAAATCCAAAATTACAAGTGTTTGCAAGCCAATTTGGATCAACCTGGCTTCATGATCCTGAAACCGATCCTGTAACATTTCTGGAACAGCAAAACAACTTGAAATTCAAATAATCAATCAGACAGGAATTAATTTTTATAATTCAAATTTTCCTCTAGGGCCATGGATGTTACTGA